CTGAGCTTCAGTCATTACAAACTGCCTCCTACATGTTTATTCTGGATATCCTGTAGTTGTTTCAAAGTCAGCATGTTCTAAACAGAACTCATTATCTTTGCCCAAACCCTCCCCTCTTCCCAACTTCCCTGTTATTGTCAAGGCACCACTATCTTTACAGTCTTTAACAGTGCTGCCACTCTAGTTACCTGTCACTTAAGCTATTGCAAAGCTATTGCAACAGCTTCTTGTTCGTCTTGCCTCAGCTTCCTTCCCATTCCAATCCATCTTCTAAGTAGCTGTCAAAGTGATTTCCTAAAGTACGGGTCTGACCACTTTACTTCCTTATTCAGTAAACTCCAGTTGCTCACCATTACCTTAGGATCAAATACACACTTCTGCTTAGCCTTTTAAACCCTCACAGCCTGGCTCCATTCTGCTTTTACAGCCTGTTTTATAGCACTGAATTGAGCACTGCTATCCTTTGCAGTATCTTTACCTTGTCTTTCCCTGGTACATGGGATACAGTCCCTCTTCGCCTCTTTTCTCTTAGAATCTTTGTCTTCCTTCAAAACTCTGCTGAAGTGCCGCCCTCTATGTGAAACTCTTCCTAATAGCTTACCCTGATAGCACCTTCCCTCCAACAGACTATCTTGTATCTATTTCCTGTATATCTGCCTATTGTCTTCCTTCTCTACAATGTAGCACAACATCAGGTACATAATTGGTACTCAGGGAGTACTTGTTGATTTATTGAATCATGCATTTGATGCTTAGAATTAATAATATAAGGGGCTGCTAGGGGTGCAGTGGATAGAATGCTGGACCTGGAGTCAGGAAGACCTCTCTTTCTCAATTCAAATCTGGCCTCAGACGCTTAATAGCTGTGTGACCCTGGGCAAGTCACTTAACCCTGTTTGCCTCAGTTTCCTCATCTGTCAAATGAGCTGGAGGAGGAAATGGCAAACCACTGCAGTTTCTCTGCCAAGAAAATCCCAAATGGGGACACAACTGAAATGACTTGAACAAAAAATATGACTTCTTTTTAAGTTGTGTGTATTCCTCTCCAGCTGCATTTTTTTTGAGGGAGGATGTTGTGAGGTGGTCAGGGTTAAGTGGCTTGCCCAAGGTCACACAGCTAGTAAATGTCAACTGTCTGAGGCCAGATTTGAACTCAGGTCCTCCTGACTCCAAGGCTGGAGCTCTATTTACTGCACCACCTAGCTGCCCCTCTCCAACTGCATTTTAAATTCTTTAAGGACTAAGTACTTAATGATTATATACTCCAGACTATTTAGAACTGTACTTTTAATATAATAAATGTTCTGTAATGATCTGTTGGTTAATTTAGGTGCTAATTGATTGTATTGGACTGTGGTGACTACATTTTTCTCCTCAGGACCTCAGAGATTGTTTTTTCAAACGATAACATGTCCAGGTTATTATGGGAGGTCTCTAGGGAACTTGCTTCCTGATTTGCCTTGCAGATGCAGTCACTGAAGATTTTAGGTAACACTCGATCCCTCACTGTCTTGAAAGCTTGAACCTTTTAGACAGATGCTGGCTTAGAATCATGGGTTAGAATTTAAAAGAAGTTCCTCAGCTTTTTTTCTTCTAATTTTAGGAGTACCATAACATCACTGCTTTATATTTTATATGACTGAGGCAGTTTTCTTTTGATTCCATTAGGTTTGTGCATATTCTTCTGCTTATTCCAGCCCTGCCATTGGGTATCTCAAACCTTATGCTTCACAATGGGTGATGGAATGCCGTCACAACCTGGCATTTCACTTGGGAGAAAAATGTTCCCTTTCTGAGTACAAAATTTGAGGTGGGGGATGGAGTCCAACTCTTCCTGTCTTTGCCTGAGCTGAAAGTGCAGGGGCTACTTACAGGCCTGGCCTACTATTGATGGGCACAGAAGCCTTTTTTTTTTTAAAATGTCAGCATGTTGTATTGCTTTTCTTTAAATTTTCAAAAAATTTTATTAATTTATTTTGATTTATTAATAATCACTTCCATATGCTTTTGAGTTTAAAATTTTTCTCCCCCTTCCTCCACACCACCCTCCCCAAGATGGCGCACAATCTGATATAGGCTATACATTTACATTCCTATTAAACATATTTTCACATTAGTGGTATTGTAAGTAAAAATTAAGACCAATAGGAAGAACCATCAAAAAGAGGAAACAAAACTCAACAGAAGAGAAAAAAAATGATAACGATTCAGCTTCCATAGTTCTTTCTTTGGATGTGGATAGCATTTTCCATCACGGGGCCTCTGGAGATGTCTTAGATCCTTCTATTGCTGGGAAAGGTTAAGTTTATAAATATTAGTCATCGCACAACGTGGCTGTTATTGTGTATAACGTTCTCTTGGTTCTGCTCATTTCACTCAGCATCAGACCGTGCAAGTCTTTCCAGGTTTTTGTAAAGTCAGTCTGTTCATCATTTCTTGTAGCACAGTAGTATTGCATTACATTCATATACCACAACTTGCTCAGCCATTCCCCAGCTGATGGGCATCCTCTCAATTTCCAACTCTTTGTCACCACAGAAAGAGCTGCTATGAATATTTTTGTACATGTGGGTCCTTTTCCCATTTGTATGATCTCTTTGGGATATAGCCCTAGAAGTGCTATTGCTGGGTCAAAGGGTATGCACATTTTTATAGCCCTTTGGGCATAGTTCCAAATTGCTCTCCAGAATGGTTGGATCATTTCACAACTCCACCAACAATGCATTAGTGTTCCAGTTTTCCCACATCCTCTCTAACATTTATCATTTTCCTGTTTTGTCATGTTGGCCAATCTGATAGGCGTGATGTGATACCTCAGAGTTGTTTTGATTTGCATTTCTCTAATCAGTAATGATATAGAGCATTTTTTTATATGACTATAAATAGCTTTAATTTCTTCATCTGAGAACTGTCTGTTCATATCCTTTGACCATTTATCAATTGGGGAATGACTTGTATTCTTATAAATTTGACTTAGTTCTCTATATATTTTAGAAATGAGGCCCTTCTCAGAGAGACTGGTTGTAAAAATTCTTTCCCCATTTTCTACCTTCCTTCTAATTTTAGTTGCATTGGTTTTGTTTGTGTAAAAACTTTTCAATTTAATGTAATCAAAATTATCCATTTTGCTTTTCGTAATGTTCTCTGTCTCTTGTTTGGTCATGAATTCTTCTGGTCTCCATAGTGTATTGATTTTTTTTTATTAACACCAAAATTACGTTAAATTCATTTTTTTTTGTTTTTCCTTAATTTATTTTGATTTATCAACAATCACTTCCATATGCTTTTGAATTAAAAGTTTTTCTCCTCCTTCCTCCTCCCCACCATCCCCAAGACAGCACAGAATCTGATATAGACTATACATATACATTCCTATTTGAAACATTTTCACATTAGTGATGTAAGTAAGAATTAGAACCAATAGGAGGAACCACCAGAAAAAGGAAACAAAATCAACAGAAGAAAAAAAAAGTAGCAAATAGTATGCTTTGATCTGTATTCAAACTCCATAGTTCTTTCTTTGTTGTGTGGATAGCATTTACCATCACGAGGCCTTTGGAGAGGCACAGAAGCTTTTGACATGCTCTCTTTCAAAACTGAGCTATTTTGCCCCGACTTGAGCAGTCCTAATTTAACACCTCCTCCCCTTACCTCCTCCATGCCCAATTTACTGTGAACACTCAATGAGCTTAGCCCATTGCAGCTCAGAACTCAAAGTTCAAGAGATGTGCCAGCCTCAGCCTCCTGAGTATCAGGGATTACAAGCAAGCATCACAGTTTCTTGCTGACTGCAAATTCTAGATACAATTAACCTGTCATTGATAGATAAGTAGCCATTCTCTGCCTTATAGGGTAAACATTAAATCATTTAGAATCTGAGGTTTTGTTTACAATACAGTACACATTTATTAAGCACATATTCTGTCCTTTGGCACTGTACTTAGCTTTGGTGATGAAAAAAAGAAAAAGAGACAGTCCCTGCAGCCTCTTGGGGGAAGACAATACACAAAAGCAAACTGCTGAGGGTCACTAATGTGATGGTGGAGTAGAATTCCAGGAGTGCAGCTTGTAGGAAATTAAGAGTTGGATGGGCTTCGGAATCCTCTTCAAATAGAGGCTTTGGGAGGAGTTGATTGCTCTGCCCTCCAGTCTTCCAGAGGGGCCTGAGGCAACTGGAGGTACTGACGATGTGTGAAATGACTAACACCTCTTCCACTAATTCAATCCCAAGTCGAATTTTTTTGCAAATCATAGTATCCCAGATATAGAGCTGGAAGGGACTTTATAGGTTTTCTAGTCTAACCCTCTTGTTTTACACATGAGCAAACAGGCCCAGAAGGCTGAAGAGACTTTCCCTATGATGCTTCAGTAGTATGTATCAAAGCCCACAGTGTAACCCAGATCCTCTCGACTGCAAATCCATCATACTCTTCCATGCTGTACTGCCTTGCTTAGTTTTTCTGTTGAGAGTAACAAGGAATTTCTTAAAACTTGCATTGATCTTTTTAAAATTTAACTTTCATTTCCAAATATATCCCTTCCCATTCATTCCTCCTACCCAGAGACAGTGCCATGTAACAAGGACAAAAAAAATTCAGAAAAGCAGGCCACTGTATAAACTCAGTCTTAGCATATTCAGTGTTCTGCCTGAGCTCTTCAGGGAAGGGTCAGATGTACATTTTCCCTTCTCTGTGGGACCAAGCTTGGTTGCACAGCTTTCACAGTGGTTTTTGTTATTTTGATTTACTTTGTTGTAGTTGTTAAGTATATTACTTTCCTGATTCTACCTGCTTCACTCTGCTGTAATTCATGGGAATCTTTTCCTGTTGCTCTAGATTTCTTATTCATCATTTCTTGCAGTTCAATAACATTCAATGATATAATTATGCTTATATACCATAATTTGTTTGGCAGTTCTTTGGGCATTTGCTTTGTTATCATTTTTTCATGCAATTTATTTGTGTATCTTGAAATGTTGCATTTAAAATTTATATACACAGGGCCACAACTGTTCGTTACAAAGGGAGAAATCTTCGAATCAAAGCTCCAATGTGCAGGGCCTTGAAGAAACTCTGTGATCCAGATGGTATGTAAAAGTGTAGGCCGAATTCTCTAAGTTACTGCATGTACTGTTGTGCACTTCTGCCTCTCACAGGCACAGTTCTGTAGTTATCGTGGATTCAAAGAGAGCTGTGTTTTTATTGTTCTGTCATGGGGCTGATGTGAAAAGTTAGAGTGAAGAGACCATTGCTGCTTAGCTAGGGATATCTGTATTTCCCTTGCAAGACAGCTGAAAAACTGCTTTAAATTCTGACCTTGCAAGTCAGGAGCTCTTCTTGGCCTTAAAAAGCCACCCTTCCTTGCTGAATCTTGTCCCGAAAGGCAGCCCAGTTCATTTAAAAACTCCTGTAACACCGACCTGGTCAGTTGCTATCAGTGATCTTTCCTGTAAGGTGCCCCTAAACCAACCTGTCTTCTCCCCCTATCTCTCTTAAAACACATCGCCCTCTGGGGTGTAATATGGCTGTGCCCTTAAGAATATCTGAGCAGCCAAATGAGAGTCAACCCAGATCCTATCGAGGTACCTTTCTTCTTCCTCCCTATCACCTGCATAGTTGTGTGTGGAGAATTCTTGTCTTTGACCTCATTCACCATCGTATGGTTTGTGTCTCAAGGTTTGTCGAATTACAGGATTTTCATGGTCTTACTCTTCATGTTTCACAGGTCTCAGTGATGAGGAAGATCAGAAACCAGTGAGGCTTCCTCTCAAAGTTCCTGTGGAATTGCAACCACGAAACAACCATGCCTGGGCTCGGGTGCAGAGTCTTGCCCAGAACCCACGCCTCAGGTACTTTACACTGATTCAGTATCTCTTCTTCTTTCCAAGGCCTAGGGGACAAGATCATTTCTTCATTTCTTTTGCTTTTTACATGTATCATTCTGTGATGTCCCTTGGTTAAAAGGTGTGGTCAGAATTACTTTGAAGTGATAATGAGAGAAAGAGGTGAGTACCTTTTACTGCTACCTGCCCTTTTCTGAATATTGGTGCCAGTCTACACTCCAGCTTCGGTTAAGAGGTGATAGTGAGCTGCTGCAACAAGTATTTATTAACCACCGACTGTGTTCAGAACACTGGTGCTGGAAGAGATTCAAAGCTGAGGGAAGGTAAGGTTTTCTTTTGTAGACCTTGTTCCAGGCCACTGCTTTCACATTCGGTGGTATAGGAGCAGTGAAAATATTGTCAGTCTATAAAGGGGCAAGAAAGTAATGAAGTAGGTGCGGCGGCATTTAGGAGGTGGGTACGAAGGCTTAGTCAGCTTGTTCTCACTTTTTAAAAGAATGTTCCTTTTTGTTTTAACCTTAAGTCTTCAAGAAACATAAAGGAGGGTATTCTCTATGAAACTATGAACTGTTATCTAGTGTGTTTTTTGAAAAAAATAATATTAAAGAAAAAACCGAATATACTAAATTTAATAAAATGGTTAACAAAATTGCCGCATTTTATTTTCTTATGACCTTTTTTGTTTTCTTCTGCTTTTTAAAAAATATTTTCATTGATTCCTTCCTTTTTTCCATTTTTATCCTTACTCACTAACTTACCCATATACAATCCCTCCACTGTAACCAAGTCATTATTCTTGATTTTTTTTTTCCTTTGCACCACAAAATCTCTGCCTCTCTACTTTCCAGGATTTGGTGAACATTGGTTTATTCTTATTGCTTCATATATTCCATAATTTTGCTCCTATATATATCTCTGGGTCTCTTACGTGTTCATTGTCTAGACTTAAATGTATAATTTATTCGTATGTTCCCTTGCAAAACTTATCACTTATCGATGTGTTACCTGCCAGTATATCTTCTGTCTGTACATTTTTTATATAGTTACAATCACTATATATTGTGATTCTACTTTTCTTAACCTTTGTGTTACTTTTTCTAATCTTTATCCATATCTTTGTATTCTTCATTGGTTTCTAACCTTTGAGCCCAGTAAGTGATCTTGACAGTCCCACCCTGTCATGACAGATAGAAGAGCGGACATCCCTTCTGCTGTAGCTCAGGAGTCGCTCTTTCTCACTCTTTTCTGTGAGTTTTTCTTTGTGCTCTTGACCTCTTACTGTTTGATTTCTCTATAGGATGATTGTAGAACTACATCGAAAGGTTTCTAGCCTCATTGAATTTCTGAAGCAGAAATGGGCATTACATGAAGTACGAATTGTATCCTTTTTTGGACTAGAAAAGAACCTCCCAAATTTGGTAGCATGTGTCACTGTGGACAGGCATTCTGTTTCCTTTTTGTAATATAGATGCAACCTGATGTTTGGTGGCATTGCCTTTTTTTACATATTGGTGAATTTTGGGGGTGAGGGAGAGAATACAGTGGCTATACTATGTCTTTGCTTAGTACCATAATAAAAACTTGGAACTCAGTCCTGTTTTTTTTTTATCATATTTCATCACCCTGCTGGACCTAGGAACTTCTGTCAGGCTCTGTCTTTTGGGAGTCTGTTATCTACTATAGGCAATATCACAGAAGTATTCATTTCATTTTCTTCATTTAAAGGAAGGTAATTGAAATCTGACTTTCTCAGTTTATGTGAATTGTCTGATCCCAGAGGGACTACTTAAGGTGGTTTGAGTTTGCTGAAAAAAGAGAGAGACTGTCCATCGTTGTTATTTCATGGTATAGTAACTGTACAGGACATACATTGTGAGGGCCAAATCTAAATTCAGTAGGATGATGGTAATACCACTAAAATGACTGTTAGCATTAAAAAATGTCTTTTGTATGTGTAATGTAATATTGACCCTGAGGAGTAGAGAATTTTAGAGCTAGTCATGGTCTATTCACTGTGGTTGAGAATCATATAGGTCTAGTTTTAGGTCATCCCAGCCTTCATATTTTAAGGATGAGGACATGTTTTGGGGGGCTGGGAGGGCAGTAGGCTATGTGCTCCCTGCTGAATTCCTTGACAGTGTCTGTTTAGCGCCAAACACTGGATGCACGGCAACTCCAGGACTCTAGAGATGGGGAGACCAGGGCCCAGCTTTCCAGGGAGAAGGCTACCTTGCACCTCTTCCCTGGGGAGAACTGTACACTCACACCCCTCCCTGGGGTGGCCCGAGTGGTTCACTCAAAGGCTTTCTGCACAGTGCACTGGCAGGAAAGTGGCAAATGCAAACAGAACACAAAGGACTCTCATTTGCTGCCTCCTGCCCAAATCCTAGGCATTCAGAGTGGTCAGGGTACAGCCCGGGGCCAGGTGAAGTATCCTCGGGGAGCAGCTGATGCCAAGGGCTGTGGGAGGAGTGAGCATATGACAGAATTGATGAGAATGTCTCATCCACCTGCCGATGCTTCTCAGAGCTCTGGAGAGAGCTCCCCAGAAAGTGGCCCTAGTGAAGGGGCAGCCCTGAGCCTTAGCAGCCCAGATGCTCCTGACAAAATGCCGTCAGGGCTTCACGACTCAGGAGGAAACCTGGAAAAGACTAATGTGGCAGCTTCTACAGAGGGCAGAGATGCCCCAGTCAGTGACCCACCTTCTGTACCCATACCGGGAAGTGTATCATGTGCCTGCAGCCACATCCCTGACCTGGAAGAGGAGCTCTCTCTCCTAGATCCATTCCCTCGGTACATGAAGTCCTGCCAGGACCTTATCATCCCAGAGAAATGTTTTTGTACAGACAGATTGCCTAGGCAAGAGCCTGCTCCCCACAGTGGGTCCGCCTCTCCGGAGGCTCTTCCAGCTAGCAGTGTAGAAACTGCTGACCTAGCGTCAGGTCAAGGACTATCACTCATCAGCGTGCAGCCTAGAGCTGAGACTCAGAGTAGCCAAGGTCTGGGATTGCAACCAGATGTTTGCACTAAGGAGTTAGCTGATGCACCTGCTGAGGACTTCCAGGAGAAGCCGAGCTCCTCCTTTACATCTCCATCTCAGGGACAGCCTGCCACAAAGCCTCTGAAGGAGAGCCCAAGCCGGCTTGCCCAGCAGGTCAGAGAGGAGGGGTGGAACCTACAAACCTCCGAAAGCCTTACACTGGCCGAAGTCTACCTCATGATGGGCAAGCCAAACAAGCTGCAGCTAGAATACGACTGGTTGGCTGTCCTGGGGCCGGAGGCAGAGACGCAGAGCTCAAGGGAGCCAGGGCAGGACCCTAGCTCTGGCTCCACATCTGCAGCCTTTCATAAGCAGCGCCTGCTTAGCTGCCTCTTAAAACTAATTTCAACCGAAGTCAACCCTAAACTGGTGAGCGTGTATGTTTGTGTGTGTCTCTCTCTGCTTGTTACGTGCTACTGTCACTTTCTTAAGACAGAGCAAAACTGTGTAAGTGGTTTCTGTTCCATTTGGTTGGGAGCCCTGTCTTTTTCCAGTTAATCTGTATAGGTAATGATGTTGTCCTTAGTGGGCAGCAATTTTTTCTATGTAGCAGACTTCCATAATCCTTGTGTGCTCCATATGAAAGGAGAGCAAGCTGAGATCAGAGGATAAGGACTAGGTATTCAGTAAAATATCGATTTGTCATAGCTGCACCATTATCTTAAATTGTACTTTGGATTTATACCACACTTTTTAACTTAATCTGTTTTCCAGTCTTCTGTATCATATGCCCTTTGAACTAGGGAGCTGAAAGCATTACCAGAGTTAACATAATTTGGTGGCCAAAGCACTGGGCTTAGTCCAAAGACTTGGCTCTGCTACTGGTTTGCTATGAGTCCTCTCTAGGCCTCAGTTTCCTCTTTCACTTGGTGATTTTCCAGTTCAGAATTCCCTTTTATAGACCAAAAAAACTAAAACAAAATGACAAACCCAAGGTTTGGAGATAGTAACTATCTATTGGCCAGGGTTACTAATGGTGCTTGGTCTAGAATTGTTGACTCCCAGTCCAAGGAGTCACTGCTCAGCACTTTTATGTATCATATTACTTGTTTTGGAAATGTATCTGTTGGTAGTTTTTTATTTATTTGAATGAATGAGGATACTGATTTTTATTCTGGGAGTGAGCCTTTCAGATTTCTATCACTATCATCTTAATAGCAATCCAAGCTAGTGACAGTATTGACAGGGTTCTACAGGCAGTCTTGAGCTCAAGATATTTAGGAAAAGTATCTACTGTCTTGTACCTCAAGTATTACATAACTGTCATTTGTTATGTTATTATTTGTATTATCCCTTTCCAAAATGAAATGTGCTTCCTTCCCTTTAAGAAGATGCTTCTTCTTTAGAAATAAATTTAAAGGGGGAGCTCATACTTTAAAAGCTTGTTAGGACATTATTTCCAGGAGTTTAAAAAAAAATCAGAATTCATTAGTTAGATAATCAAATAAAAAAGTTTTTGGTTATTCAGGAGTAGTTTCCAACTATACTTTGCATCTTGGCTAAAATGTGTCAGTGAGGATTTAATAATATAGTGCTTTCATTAACATAAATGCAGTTTATTAATATAATAGATATAGATGAAATTTGTTAATATACACGCATTGAAAATGGAAAGAGATTCAGAATTCTTTCTGGTAAGCCAAACATACTTCTTCCCTCAGTGATTTCCAGCTTAGTGTTATAGTATTCATGAAACAAAATTTCATGGCAAAGTAAAACAAAAATACATAGTTAATATTTAGAGTCTTTATTTATTTATTTATTCTTTAGTGTTTAGTTTTTATTTAAACAGAATAATAATTAATATTTCTGAAGCTGCACCCTTTGAGAAAATTTTCCTTCTCAAAACTTAAGTACCCCTTGATTACTTATTTTTAAGGCAGGGATTCTTTACCTTTTGTGTGTCCTAGACCTCTTTGGCAGGCTTGTGAAACTCTTATGGACCCCTTCTCAGAGCAGTGTTGTTTTGTGTATGTGTGTGTGGGGGGGTGCAATGGGAGTTAAGTGACTTGCCCAGGGTCACACAGTTAGTGTTATATGTCTGAGGCTGGATTTGAACTCGGGTCCTCCTGACTCCAGGGCCAGTGCTTTATCCAGTGTTCTATCCACTCCCTCACCTACCTGCCCCTAGAACAGTGGTGTTTAAATGCATAAAATGAAGTGGATAGGATTACAACAGAAATCAGTCAGATTGATATATTGTTACTGAGATTGTTTTCAAAAGTTCATGGACTTTAGATTAACAACTTCCTCCTCTAAGGATTCAGTGTTTTCTAAGATGGACAGAGAGCCTTCTCTTAATTGGTTTCAGGAGACATTTTCATTCTTAATTTGGTGCCATAAAGAAGGGAAACTCTAATAATCCTGGTTTTAAGAAATCAAGATCCGTCCTTGAAAATAAGTCTTCTATTCAAGAAAGAATAATTAGGTCTTTGAGTCAAGTATGACCAAGGACTTTAGACTAGAATACTGTCGTAATTTTATTTCTTAATTATTTCCACACCTCACAGTTCTTATAATTCTTTGTCAGTCAATTCCCATTCAGGCATTTCTCAGCCATTGGCTTTTTGTAGCCACATATTGATTAGTATCTCAAGCAGTTATAACCCATCACATGTAGATATAGGCTGTGAAATGTATTTATGTGACAATCCAAAGAATGTATATTCATTTTTAGAAAAAAACAGAAAACTGAAAGTCATATTTTAAAAGTAAGTTGGTCCCTTGTATTTGAATATTAAATTTCTAAGGTTGGAAGTGGTCTTGATTTATAAAACAGTTCTCTCTCAAACCTCTTTGGAATTGACCCTTATTCTTGCTTGAATTTTATGGTACCTCTCCTCAAAATGCCTAGTGGCATATATTTATTGTTTTAGGGTAAACGAAAAATAATTTTGTTTTGAGCTTTGGGGGAAGCAGGATACTTTTGTGACAGAATTTGAGATGTTCAAATTTTTTAAAAATTGTAAATGACTGGTTACATTTAGAGATCTTGAGTGTTAGAAAATCAGATTTAGGAATTTCTGTTTTAAATAATGTCATTTCATCTAGAGCATTTATTAACCTTCCTTTATTCTTTCATCTATTTCTTTTCCACTGGCCTCATACTTCTAGGAGAGTGTTAGGAGTATATTCAGGGCAGGAAAAAAAAAAAGAAAATTTTGAAGTCATGAGAAAAAAATTGAATTTTAGGGGAAAATTAAAGCATATGTACTTTCTTAATTTAGGAACATGAAAATGTACCTCATTTAACTTGTGGGGTCAAGCAACTATGATGTTATAATGACAGATATAAAGGCCTAGAAAAAATTTTTCTAATGTGAAAGACACTTTTTTCCCTTATCAGTTATTTTTAAACCAATAAAGGCCCTCATTAAAAGTAGTTTTTCTTTCTCCATCTCCCATTTTTCATGGGGATTTCTAGACATGAGGCTGACGCTGTGGAATATATCTACTAAGGCCTAGAAGTTTAACTTTAAAAGTTGACGTTATTTATATGTAACTCTGGAACAAATTTCACATTTTCTGGCTCTAGGTTTTCCAGTATTTTTGCTAGTGTAAGGAAAAGTTTTCATTGTTCTTTAAAATTAGACATTTTATTTAATCTTTAACATTCCCTTTCTTTGGTTTGAAATCTGTATGTAATAGTCATCGAATTGCCCTAGTTTTATCCTTTGTCACATTTTTTGTTTAGTAGGTCAGGTTACCATGTCCTACCTAGTATGTTTTAAAATATGTTAAGCAGTGAAGTCATACTTGTTCTTTTAGAGGAGGAGGGCCTTTTATTTTCTTGGTAGTATAGCATAGTGACAAGCTTTCTTGTTAGGAGTATCTGTGGTAAAGTGCTTAAGAATTTGAAGTCAGGAGATTGGGATTCAAATTCCAACTCTGTAACTTATGCTCATAAATTTAGAGTTGAAAGGGTTGTAAAGGTCATCTGTCTCAGTCCCCTCCTTTAAGATTAGGAACCTCTGGCCTAGAGAAGTTAAGCAGTGTTCCTGAAGTCACATAGCTAGGTGACAGATAGGCAGGATCCGCACTCACCTCTTCCTCCTCTTCCTCCACAGACAGCGTTCTCTCCCCTGTGCCATATTACCATTTACAAAATGTAGTACCAAGGGCAAGTCACTTTACCTCAGAGTTTCAATTTCTTCCTCTGTAAAGCTGAGATGATCCTTTTCCTGACTCCCTCACAAGATTAGTGTAAAGAGAGTGTTTTTTAAACCTTAGAGTGCTATAGAAATATGGGTTGTTATTTCTGTTGGTTGTGCTTTGGGATCTTGTAGTCCTGTACTAACCAAGCAGCCTCCCTAATGTCTACTGAAAGAGCTCAGTATGGTGATTCGGAAGGGAATGTTGATATAAAAGCAGCTCTTGAAATCTTCTGGTTTAATGTTTTTCTCTCTTCAACCCAAACTCTTTTTGTTAAAGACACTCTCTGTGATGCCCTTGATCCTCTGCATCTTTGTTGGAGGAATAAAGCTTTCCTGATGATGTTTGGAGCAGACCATTTACTTCAAACTGGGTGTAGTTGTATTGTGCTGAGTGTGCACTGAATCCTTCCTCTCCCCTCCTAGACTCCTGAATCTAATGCTGTCTCTGTGGCTTCAGTGAAGCCCACTCAAGAGGAGCAGTCACTAACGCCCCCAGGAAAGGTGATAACCATCAGTACCCGGAGTCCCCGCTGTGCCCGAAATCAGTCCACCCTCCGAAATAATAAGAACTTCTCTCCCAACTCATCATCCAGCTCCTCAGGTGAGATGTTAAGGGGGCTGGGGAGCCAGCCCAGAGCAGCCATTCATCTAATCTGGCAGCCTGCCTTTGCCTTACCCTGATAACTTCAGAAGTGTCCTACAAGAGCCAGGTCAACATTTTCTATTCAATTCAATTTAATATTTATTGAGCACCTGCTAGGTGTCAGGCACTTTGCCTGCCAAGCACTGTGAATACAGATAAGAAAAGGATAGTCCCTGCCCTCAAGGAGTTTACGGTCTAATAGGGGAAGGCAACAGACAAAAGGAAGCTGGGAAAGGGAGTAGGGATGACAAACGCCAAAGGGGACCCTTCCTGTCCTGTGGAGTTGAAACCGGGCAGAGGTGGAGATACAAAGTGTCTTGTAATCAGCAGTCCTAACTACCACCTACAAAAATCATTACCATTGAGGGACATTGAACTATAGTGACTACTATAAGTGGCTTCACCCCTCAGCTCAGTCTTATAGAAGAGGAGAAAATGAGTTTCTAGCCCAAGAAATACTTCTTTAAGGTAGCTTGGTGGTACTCAGAACTCATAGCATAGATTTTAGAGCTCTGAGTTATGTAATTCAACCCTCTCATTTTATACAGTTGAGCTATGGGAATAAGTTGGGTAGATTTTTAAAAGACTTATTACATTGAACTTAATATGAAAAAGCATTGTATTTTTGTAAGCTTTTTCTTAGATTGTAAACTCAAGTTGAATACTGACTCTATATTTTTCTTTGAATGATACCTAGGCTAGCACCACATGCAAACAGGTTGTAAAATAAATTATTTTTTATTATGATCAAGAAAAGTATATTTTGTCAATTCTTAAGAAATTTGATATTGAATTATTTTTCTATTACATGTTCCGAGAATTTCAAAACCATTACTTCATTATTATTTTAATGTTAGTCCAGTGTTATACTTGTAAATGTATATTATGCTGCCCCCTCCACCCTCCAAAATCAATCTGTTATACTTCTGCCATAAAATAAGAAAGAACAGTGTTACAAGTAAATCACCAGAAATATGATAACTTCTGGCTGGACAGATTGAGGGAATAATTCCCATAAAGTTGCTATTATTTTTTTCCCAGATTATTCAAGCAGCGTTAAAAAAAATCATTCACTGCACATTTCCAGTGACTGATAACTGTATAAAACTACCTTATTAGTTTTTATTGCTTAGTTATCCTAAGAGCTCAACATTTACAAAATAGGTAGTCTGTAAGTATTTTGAATAAGACTTCAAAAACATTTAAGGTATTGAGGAGCCTCAACAAGAGGCTCTTAATAATTGTAATGTTTTTCCTCTCTCTCTTTTCACTCTCAAACTTTTTCCCTTTTCTTAGATGACAAATATACAAACATCAAGAATAATGGTCACTTTTTAACATGCCAGTTTTGTTAGCCCTATCCACAGAGCTAGTGTTTGATAAAGGTTTATAGCTCTCAGCTTTTATTCTGTTTCCTCTAATAACCTGTGAGCCATATTCTTTACGTTGGTCCCGTTTCATTTCATATTCTGTTCTGAAAATGAACATAGAACAGCTAATTTGAAAATTTCTATGTTTTATCAAAGAGAGAAGGGAATATTTGATCAAATACGATAAATAGAACCATAATGATAATACTGACAGCTGGCACTTATGTAACACCTACTACATACTAGGCAGTATGCGAAGCACTTTACTCTGTCTAATTTGATCTTCATGACAACTCTAGAAGGTAGGTGCTATTATCATATGCACCTTACAGCTGAAGAAACCGAGGCGAACAGGTTACACAACTAGTGACTGTCTTAGGCTAGATTTGAACTTGGGCTTTCCCTATTCTAGGCCCAGTGCTCTATCCACTATACCATCTAGCTGCCCCCAGGAATACCTGAGTTCAAGACAGACACTTAGATCTGTGTTATCCTGGACAAGTCACTTGACTTCTCTTTGTCTAAGTTTCCTGAACTGTAAGGTGGGAATAATAACAGCACCAACTTTGTAGAGTGGTTATTAGGATCAAATGAGATAGTATTTGTAAAATGTTTAGCATTGTTCTTGGTATGTAGTAGGTACTATATAAATATTTACTCCCTTCCCCCCAGTAAGAGATAAATTAGAAATGCATTGTTTATATGTGTCAAAATACAGAAATTCCCTGCAAAGTGATTCATTCTCATAGTTTGTCATATAATTTTCCAAAAAATGAATTATCAAGGAAGACAGTACATAACAAAAGAATACTTGATTAGATGTCAGAAGACCTGTGATAAGGTCCCAGCTGTTTGCTTGCCTACCTTTCTGACCTTTAGCAAGTAACCTTACCATTCTCGGCTTCAGTTCTCTTTATCTGTAAAATGAGGGTGGTAAGACTAGATGACCTCTGAGCTCCCTTTTCACTATGAGTTGATGATCTTGTGAACTGTTTTCTCTACTAACAACAATAATTGAAGCCATCCATTTTTTTGTTCTTTTAAGGTTTGAGAAATCCTCCAAGACCTCTTCTGGTAGCTGCTCCATCTAGTTCAGGAAATAGTGATTCTGATGGGGGGCTTTTTGCAGTCCCCACAACCTTGCCACCCAACAGCCGGCATGGAAAGCTGTTTTCACCTAGCAAGGATGCAGAATTGACTTTCCGACAGCATCTGGACACAATCAGTGTAAGTGCAGAAAGAACATATCTGAAACATGACTATACCTGATCTGTCTCCATAGGAGATGACCTCACACATGACTCCATAGATACTGTACAGAGCTTGTTTCTTATTAAGCACAAACTCCAAAATCAAGATTCACTTTCACAGAGAGAGGGAATAGATATTTGGGTAGTGGTGTTTCTCATGGAGGTAAAAGGCCTCATCTCTTTCTCGCCTGATGGTTTCCTTTGCAGATGCAGTCGGATTTCTTCTTGCCAAAACCGAGGAAGCTACGAAATAGACACTTGAGGAAGCCATTGGTGGTACAGGTCAGAAGAGCTTGTTTTTGTACCTGTCTGTGGTCATAAAAATTAAGTCCTAGGATTTAGGGTAGACTTTTTTCTTGGTTTTATCACTGATTGTTTCAACTAATATGAATAATCTTTTCACTCTGCTTCAATTTCCCTGTGTTTAAAATGGTATTAATATCTGCCCCCTTCTCTACCACTGTATGTTACTCCATATATAAAATAAAATACTTGTTTCTTAGGAAGTGCAGCCTCTAAAATCAAAGATCACTTCCACAAAGAGAAGGTCAACAAGGGACCAGTTGGACACTCGAAAGAACTTTACCCCGCAGCAGCACATGTATTGCTGAATGAAGGGGTAGAAAATCATGTGACTGTTCTGACTGTATCTACTACAAATTTTTATGTTACATTTGCATCCTCACGGCTGCCCCACTGCCCTTCTGTACTTCCTTTATCAACTCACTATCCCACTTTCCGCAGCAGCTCTTCCAAACCTTCTCATACCTCTTTAAATCTTGCATGGTTTAAACCTTTAAAAAAAAAAAAGCCCCATCCCCAAGGGGCCCCTAGGTGGCTTGAGACACATAACACTCACTCACTAGCTGTGTGACTCTGGGCAAGTCACTTAATTCCAATTGCCTCACCAAAAAGTGTGGGGGAAAAACCCCACCCACGACACAACTGGGAATCTTACCTCATATTTTACAGATAAAATTGAGGCGATTCACTGTGAGCTCCCTCTTCTCCCGTCTTTCTGATCTCCTGTTAGCTGCTTTTTGCCACTCCATCGTCCTTCACCCAACGTCTCACAGGATGAAGGGGCTTCACTCCTTACCAAGGCTACTTGTTCAAGTGATCCCATTCCATCCGGTCTCCTCCGATAGAAGGTTGTCTTCATCCCCACTCTATAGCTTATTTTAATTCTCTGTCTCTCTACAGACTCCCTTGCTGCCTCCAAACATACCCATGTTTCCTCTATCCTCAGAAAAACCTCCAGCTATAGTCCTGTGTCTTTTCTACCCTTTTAGTCAAACTCCTTGAAAAGGCTGTCCACACCAGGTGCCTCCACTTCCTCTACTTTTATTCTCTTCTTAACCCCTTCTAGTCTGGCTTCTGACTCAATCATTCCACTGCAGCTGATCTCTCCTAAGTTAGGAGTGGTGTTTTTTTTTTTAAACCCAATCCCACCGTCTTTTCTTAATCCTCACTCTTCCTTGCCCTCTCTGCAGCCTTTGACACTGTTGATCATGTTCTCCTCCTTGATATTCTCTTCATTCTAGGTTTTCAGGACTCTATTCTCTTCTGGTTCTCTTCCTACGTGGTCTCCTGACCATGCCTTCTGTCTCCTTTGCTGGATCCTCCTCCAGATCACACCCTCTAACCATAGGGGTCCTTCAGGGCCCTCTTCTCTTCTTCCTCTATAGTATTTCACTTGGTGATCTAATCAGCTTCTGTGGATTGAGTCACCATCTTTATGTTGATGATTCTTAAATCTGCCTTTGCTGCTGGAAACTCTCTGCTGACCTCCAGTCACTCATCTCCAGCTGCCTTTCAGATATCTTAAACTGAATGTGCAGTAGATGTATCAAACCCAGTGTTTCTAAAACTAACTCGTTATCTTTCCCCCTAAGGTCCCTTCTCCTCACCCCCTAATACTTTAGTGGGCAGAACCATCCTCGTTATCTTTAAGTCTTGAGTCGTCACTGTCTTTCAGTCCCATATCCGAGTGGTTGCCAAAACCTATCAATTCCTCCTCTGCAGGCTTGTATCACCTCATTGCTGGATTATTGCAATAGCCTGTTGGTGGGTCTGCCTGCCCCAGGTCTCTCCTCACTCCAGTCCATCCTACATTCAGCCACTAAAATGATTTTCTTAAAGGGCAGATTTGATCATACCACCCCACTATTCAGTAAACTTCATGTGGCACCCTATTGCCTCTAGGATCAGTACAAAATCCTCTGGCTTTCAGTGACCTTGGCGAACCAGTCCTCTCTTACCTTTCCAGTCTCGTTGCATCTTACTCCCCAAGATGTACTCTTCTGTCTGAGGACGCTAGCTCTTTGCTGTTTCGTGAGCAAGGCACTCCTTTTCTTGGCTCTGGGTATTTTCTCTCGTTGTTCCCCATACCCCAGTACTCTTCCCCATCATTCCACCTTTTACAGCAAGCTTTTTCCAATCCTTCTTAATTCTAGTGCCTTCCCTCTGTTAATTATTTTCTATTTACCTCAGATAAAGCTTGTTTTTATTTATCTCCCGTATTATTAGATAATGAGCTCCATGAGGCCAGGGACTGTCATTTGTCTCTTTTTGTATCCCCAGCAATTAGCAGTGTCTGGCACACAGTATACACTTAATAAATGTTATTGATTGATCATTGAAGGAAAAGGAAAAGTACATATAAAGAGGACCTGAGTTCAAATCCAACATCAGATAGTTAACACGTACTAGCTGTGTGACCCTGGGCAAGTCACTTAACCCCAACCGCCTCACCAAACAGCAAACTGGAAAAAAAAAAAGTAAATATAGTTCCATTCAGTAAGTATTTGTTAAGCGCCTACTGTTTGAAAGACATCATTCTAAGCACTGGGGACATAAAGACAAAATGAAAAATAGAACCTGCCAGAGCTTAGACTCCTCAGACCTGGCTCTTACAGTCAGTCAGGGTCATGGTCATGTTGCTCTGGTGCCAGGGTGAGATTTCAGGGCAGGGTCTGCATGGGAGAAGAACACACTGCATATTCAGAATGTTCCAATTTAGTTTCTCTTCAGATTAACTGAGCTTTACAATTATTTCTATTAGAAGAGTAATAACTTAAACCTATTAAAAAATCTTAATACAAATGTAGGAATCTCAAAATATGAATAATTACATTGAGAATTCAAATCCGAAATAAAGCATTAAACTCCATGTGTAGATTAAAATGTATACTTTAAAAAAGTTATAACTGTCTTTTTCACTGTGCTTTGATTTGTTTTTCTTCTGTGTACTTGGGTTCTCTTATACTTCTTTTTTTGCCCACATATAGTGAATGTGCATTTCATATTGCTAATTTTGTTTTCTTCATGCCTTATGATTTCATATATTCCCACATTTTCTTATATTCTTCATATGGAACTTTTTAGACTAATGTTTTATTGAGGTTATATAATGGCAGAAGGCATCTTCTGATTTCTCATGGTGGTGTGAAAGTAGCTCCAGGTCGTCAAAGGCTATTGAGAGCCCAAGGTTCTGGTGAGTTTGTTGTGCTGGGAGATTCCACAGGACTCAGCACTCTTATCTCTGATACTGTATCTGCTTTTAGCAGTTTGTCTGCTTACTAGAGGATGGATTCTTTGGCCACAACAACTTTTGAGCCAAAAAAAAAACAATGATCCTCAGGCTTGGACCCTTACTGCCTATGGAGTAGTAGGGCATGCCACATAAAGTCTCTGCCCTTCACTTTCCTCATCCACAAAATCAAGAGGCTGAATTACATAGCCTATGAGGTCCCTTCTAGGCCAACACCTGTTCTCCTATGACCTCTTTGGTTTCTGCAGTCATGTTGACAGAAAATTGGGAAGAAGGCTAAAAATAATAGTTTTCTAGATTGTCTCTAAAACACAAATGGAAATGCACTAGAACTTCCTCCAGTGGTGCAGATTTCAGCCCCACTATATCTTCCCATCCCATGTGACTCTTGTCCATATCCTCCCAGGAGCTTGCCACAGAGTTCCAGGCACACACTGGGCTTTTCTTGTCTCCTCCTGCCAGACATATGACTGAAGCATTGTGACTATCTACTTGTTATCCTGTGGGAGCATCCCATTTTTTCTTCACGTTACATAATTCCTTGATGACATCTTTTTTACTTCTTCTTTGTTGCAGCCTGCTCACAGCCAGCATATGTATTTATGTATACCCTTATGTGTGTACATATGCATATACATGCTGTTTTGCATATATCAGAACACTGTATAAATGTTGGGTATTTTGAAAATTTGAATATTAGAAACAGACCATTTAAAGAAAGGGTTCTTAGCCTTTTTTGTGTCACGGACTCTTTTGGTAGTCTGGTGAAGCCTGTGGACCCCTTCTCAGGATAATGTTTTTAAAGTCATAAAGTAAAATACACAGGATTGCAAAGGAAACTAAATATATTGATATTGAAACACATTTATCAAAATATTTATTGATATTGGAATATTTATTGGAATATTTTTTGAAAATAAATTCACTTCTCCCCTCTTAAGAACCACTAAATTTTAGGGGATTACTCTTCATTTTATAAAAGGTTCCACCATAAGATTCCTTCAACTAATACATTTCTTGTACTTACAACTTTATTCGATTTACAGAAATTCTATTTGTGCAAATTTTTTAGTAGTACATCCTTACATAAAAATTAGGTGCATCTCTGTGGTTCTACCAAGGGAAGAATTTGCTCATATTTAAGAGAAAGAGCTACTTGAGAATTAGTTTGGAGGTCTAGGATTTTCTTCCCTGACTATCTGACTAGGATCATTTTAATATTATTCTTCTTAGCAGTAGGAAAATGGGCTGCATGAAAAATGAGTAAAGGACTTGTATTATAAATATTTCTAGTAACATTTATGTTGCACTTGAAAATTTGACATTTTCATAGCACTTGAAAATTTGCAAATTTCTTTGTATATGTTATCTTATTCAGGCCTCAAAACTACCCTGTGTTCTATCCATATAATAAATGATTATGTAATTGAGTTACAGTAGCAATAGCCTAACCTTTTTGTTTAGGAATAATGGGACATGGAGAAAAGTAAAGGCACTCATTCTGATCATAATAATTTCTTTGAGAAGTTTAACTCCCAATAAAATGTTCACCACCAAATGGAGCCGAAAAACTGCTTCTGGCAGTAAATACTTGACCTCCTTTCAGGCAGAGACATGGTGATTCAGAGTGTAAGGCTCAGTTTTAATACATAGATCTGTCCCATCATGTCTCCAAACAGGGAAAACACTTGAAAGTAAAGATTGAAAGTAAAGATAATGTTCTGGATGATAACAGTTCATTTTAAAAGCAGTTAGAGGTGAAAGCAGACGGAGAATCATAGTGGATAGGTGCTAGAGTTGGAGTCAGGATACCTGAGTTTCAATCCTACTAAAGCCACTTAACAAGTATGTGACCATAGGTAAATTTTGTCATTTCAAAAGGTTGTTGTAAAGAAAGCACCTTGCAAACCTTAATGTGTGTATTTGTTGGTAGTTGTTGTTGTTGTTAAACAGATACAAAATTGGACAGAGTTGCCAGTATTTCTAATCATCAGTCAGTGTATGTGTGTGATATGTACATACATACATGTGGTATATACATACACACATTTGAACTCATTACTTCAACTCAGCACGTGTTAAGTGCCTACTGTGTGCAAAGCATTGTGCTAAGGGATACTGAGATAAAAATAGCTGTTGCCTTCAAGGAATGGACATTTCAGGGTTTTGTTGTGACGGTTTGATGGAAGTTAAACTTTTTTAAGAAATGCTCTATAAATGGAGTAAGTATCCAGGTAGTGAATGCAGAATAATGTTAAATGGGCTCAAGTGGCCTAACGCGTCCACAGAAAGGCTTCATGTAAGATTCCACCTGAGGTGAACCTTGAAGAGACCTAGCTGTTCCCAAGGGACGTTATCATCTATTCTATTCACCAGGTGAGGAAATAGAAATTCCCTTAAGAAAATGAAGTCAGGAACAGCAGCTGGAAGTGACAAATACACTAAGTCAAAATCCATGCTAGGGATAACACTGTTTTTAGTCACAGAATTTCAGAGTTAGAATGGGCTTCAGCAAACATCTAAGCCATGCCATATCAGAAAGCAATCCTCAGTATATATACCTGAGAAGTATTTATCCTGATGTTGTATACGCCTTCAGTGAAGGTAGAATTCACCACCTCTTCAGGCAGGCTGTTCCACTTTTGGTTAGTTGGGTGTGTTAGCATGTTTCCCCAACATTTTCATTTACATTATTGTGATTGCTGTGCAAATTATTCTTCTGGTTCTGCTTTCTTTGCTCTACATTAGTTTATACAAGTTTTCAGTGTGACTTTCTGAAGTCTTCACATCTGTCTTTTCTTATTATACAGTGGTATTCCTTTGAAAGAAAGGATTACATAGATAAAGTTCCTTGAAATAAGGGAGACTAACACACACACTGGCTATTTGGCCATAGGAAAGTCACTTAACCTCTCAGCGCTGGAGGCATTTCTCTAAGAAGTTTAAGGGAAGAAGCCAGCCAGAATTGGTATAGGGGGTTTCCTCATCTGGTAGTTCTCTATACCAATGAAATCATAGATTCAGTTTAGTCTGTTGAGTGGTAATGGTTCCCCAATCATTTAGGTATCTTTTATTTTCAATTCTTTATCTACAAAAAAAGTAATGCTCTGAGAGAGAGAGAGAGTGTGTGAGTGTGTGTGTGTGTACGTGTACTTTGCTTCCCATGCCCACATTTCTCAGTAAAGAGAATAAGCTCCCGTGTAAGCAGAAACTTTTTGTGTTCAGGTGGGTACAATAGCCCTCACAGCCACTTATTTGTATCCATTCTTCTGGGTCCTGTCACAATCATGCTGTTGTTGGTAGTGAGATTTTAGTGAACTGTCTTCTAGTACATTCACCCAGTAGTATTTGCAAAGTATTAAAACTGAGGCCCAGAGGAGCATGGTGGGTTGGCCATGGTCATACAACCTCTGAGTGACAGGTGACATTACGAGGATTCATGATCGTCTTCATGATCTTTGAATACCACGTCCAGCATTCTGTCCATGTTGTCACACTGCTCAGATTAGCATGACACCTAGCTGAGAGGATGGGTGTTCTGCCTCACAGTTCCTCTTTCTGGTAGTTGAGCTGCCGCCAGTCTGTTCTGGGTCCCATGATTACACCCTTGAAATTCATTTCTTAGCCTTCTCACTCATTGGTGACTATTGCCCCCTTTCCCTGTATCTAATCAGGTACCAGGCCCTGATCGATCAATTCTGCTTTCTTTTTTTTCTTTGTTTCTTTTTTTAAATTTTTATTTATTTATTCTTTAAATTTTATTAATTTATTTTGATTTATCACAATCACTTCCATATGCTTTTGAGTTGAAAATTTTTCTCCCCCTTCCTCCCCCCACCCTCCCCAAAACGGCTTTACATTTACATTCCTATTAAACGTATTTTCACATTAGTGAAGTTATAAGTAAAAATTAAAACCAACAGGAGGAACCATCAGAAAGATGGAATAAAACTCAACAGAAGGTAAAAATAAGTGATAGCGATTCGACTTCCATAGTTCTTTCTTTGTTTGTGGACAGCATTTTCCATCCTGAGTCCTCTGGAGATGTCTTAGATCCTTCTAATGCTGAGAAGGGTTCAGTTTAACAATATTAGTCATGGCATAACGTGGCTGTTATTGTGTACAAAGTCCTCTTGGTTCTGCTCACTTCACTCAGCATCAGACCATATAAGTCTGTCCATGTTTTTCTGAAGTTAGCCTGTTCATCATTTCTTATAGCACAGTAGTATTCCATTACATTCATATACCACAACTTGCTCAGCCATTCCCCAATTGATGGGCATCCTCTCAATTTCCAATTCTTTGCCACTCAATTCTGCTTTTAAAATCTTTTTTCTCCTTTCCACTGACCCTAACCTAAGTATTACTCTCATTACCTCTAGGCCTAGCTATTGTAATACTTAGAGGTTAAAAGACCAATTAAATATTACAGTTGGTCTTTTAACCTACATCTTTTTTTTCATTTCTACTGCCACACTAATTTTTGTAATTCATACCTCTAATCAGCTCATTCTGTTGATCACAAGATGACTTCAGTTGTCCCTTATTGCATACTTTTTAATAAGATCTATACATATCCCTTAACTACCATATTCAAGGTACTTTATCATATTACTCCATCTCTATCTTTCTTTCTGTCCCTCTCTCGTACTTTTGCCCTTTCTTGTTCCTTGTAAAATATTTAGCATTGCCTGGATTCATCCGTCAGTTTCTAGCCTAAATAGCTTTACTCAGTTTTTCCCATCTTCCTGGAATTCTACTAATCATTTCCCCTCCCCAAAATCTCTAAATGTTGAACTCTACCTATCCTTCTACGCAAATTCTAATGCTACCGCCCCTCAATTAAATCTTTCCCAATTCCCTTCCTCTCTCCAATGCTCTTATCACTTTCTACTTTATATTATATTTATTTGTGTCTATATATGTGTATAACTGTATGTGTTTATATACAAAGCTAATTTAACTCTTGAGAATAGGAATCTGTTATTTATCTTTGTCTAAACATAAGACCTTATACAATTAGGCCCAGAATAAATGTTTGTTAAATGAATGAATATAGGAACATCTCAGAGACCTTTAATATTATTCATTTTTCCCAGTATCTGTGTACTTGGTGATTATCATTGTTCTACCTTCCTACTATTTCGGGAATTAAGAAAGTAGCCCAAACCTATTTGAAAGCAGACCCTGTGAATTGATTCCAGTGAGGATCAGAAAATATATGTTATGGTATTTATTGTTCATAGTTTGAAACTTGTAGATAAAAGGGTCTGAGACTTGCTCAGAAGTTTCATTAATTTCTTGTTTCATAGCATCCTTAAAAAGGAAACTTTGTTTTATAATGCTCAACCACATTTTATTTAGCATGTTTATTTTGAACAAGTCTCTTGTAAATGAATGTGACTCCTTATATCTGTGCCATTTTCTTCTTCTCCTTAGAGAACACTGCTCCCTAGACCATCAGGAAATCCATCCCATAATGTGTGTTCTTTTTCTATCATGTCAAATTCTTCTATAACAGGTCAGTGCTTGTGGTTCCCACAACCCCTCCACTTAAATTTACCTGTGATTTTCCTTAATATGGCTTACAGGCGTACCTGGCATGAAAGAATTGATATTTACTATGTTGTGTATAAATTAATTTCCATGTTTGAAATGCATTTGAAATACTATTTAATACTCTTATCTTTGGGGAGGAGCTTGTAATCTGTACTGTTGTATATTGCTTGCTTATTGTGGATGATAGCTGTAGTTCACTTTTCAGGCTTCTTTTTGTAAATGATTAGTTCTGCTATAACTCCACAAGATTTTCTAAAAGTCACTGAACTATGTAAAATTGAGCAATAAAAACCAAGGACGTCTGTTGAAATTGGAGTTGGGACACAAGACTCAAAAAAATTCATCAGTGACATGTTAAAAAAAAAAAAAGAACCTAAAAATCATAGTAATGTTTTATACACATTAAGTAGTTAAAATCATAAATACTGCAATAAATAGTTGCACTGTCTGAGGCCTTGGGCTTGGCCTGCATCCCAGTTCCTGGTGAGAAGGAGGGGGACCTTGGCCATGGTGGAAAGTGGGGAAGGGGTGGAGAGGAAGGTCAAGAGTTCTCCTCAGCCATTAGCTCCTATTGCACCTGAAAATATACAATAAATAAGGACCTTTACCTTGAAAAATACTTGAAGTTTCCTCGTGGAAGGGGGTGTTGAAAGGTTGCAACTTCTGAGTTATTGTGAAGTGGTCCAGTTTTCTTTGTTCTGTCACTGTTTCTCCTGGATGAAATAAAGCATAAAAATAAATACAAAATTCATGCTATGCTCAGATCATTCCCTAATGTATCATTTGTGTTAGAGTAAATTTTGCCTTTTCAAAATAAGCGTTATAGCAGAGCTAACTTTTGTTTTCTTTTGTTTCTCTTTTGTTTTCCCACACATAACTCTATAAACCCCAGGGAATTGAGCAGGATTAAACTAACTTTTATTAGTAGAAATTATTATCAGGAAATGTACTGTAATGTTCAAAGAGGGAAATTGCTTCCTTGACTTATATTTTGTCCACTGGTCTTTGAATTGCTCATTTCTTACCTCATGTGCTTTGCTGCCATTTGAATAGTTTTGATCCCATGATATCCACAAATAAACCCTATAGTTTTCATTATTGTCATGTACTGTCACATTTTGTAGTTTTGCTGAGCCTTTGTTCCTCCTTGACCAAACAGCTAATCTAGCCCTTCTTTGTACTTTTTCTAACCCAAGAATCATTGCTACCTTCTGTGGGCAGTGGCAATTTAGAATACTTGATAATATCTGACTAGACTGAAATCTCGTAGTGAAGGCTGTGGGCAGTGAAAATATGGGGATAAATCTGCTATTCTGTGTGCATTGGGTAGTGAAATGAGCATAGGAATAAAAAAATTATAAATACATGTGTGCATCCTAGAAATTCATTTTTTTCCCCATCTTATAGGGAGAGGGTCATTTCGGCCAATCCAGTCCTCTCTGACCAAAGCTGCTTTGTCTCGACCTATTGTGCCCAAGGTTCTTCCAGCCCAGGCTGCTAATCACCTGTCCAGTAAGTTTCCGTGGCTAAGCATGAGGTGAACTTGTAGCCAACCCCACACTTCTGAGTGACACTTTTCAGTGTTCTTTTCTTCTCCCTTCTCAAATCTTTATATATATATATATATATATATATATATATATATATATATATATCTCCTAAAGCCTTGGAAGGAAAAATATGTAATCTGTTGACTTTTCAGTTGAAAATTGGGTTAGATAGGATATTTTTATGGTCTCAGCATGGGATATGCAACTACTTATTTAGAGGAAGCCTTATTATTATCATCCTATGTCTCTTTGTCTCTAGGTGCCATTGACTTGGCAGCTAAAAGTGCTGGTATTATCCCTGGGAGCCCACTCCCTGTCCTGGATACTGAGGGTTTGCCTGGGATAACACAGTTGCCTTCGGAGGAAGTGACAGCCACAGTGACAGGGCAAAACTTGGCTAGCTCACATCAGAATGGGGACGCCATATCAGCTATGGGGGTTTGTATCAGTAACATGTATCTTTATTTGTCACAGAAATTATGGAGAGTATTGCCATTTTCTGTAAGGTGGTAGAGCCTACATTAAAACCTGTGATATAATGATTATATTGCATTTAATTTTGTATGCCATATTTTAAGAGATATTGACTAACTGGCATTTCGCCAGGTAGGCATCTGTGACATTGAGAGAATTAAAAACCAACATGAGGTAGACCATGGAATTCTTGAGGACAAGATGGTGACAGTTGAGCTGGATGATGGTATAAGTATGTTATAAATGCTTTAAATATGTTGATTTGCCACTGATTCTAACAGCTGTACTCAGATGTTTATTAAATGGATAGATGTCAGCCTAGATGTAATTAGAGGTCACTAAAGGTAAGGAATGGTTTAGGGTTCTATCTTTTACTCTGTGCCTAGTATTTTGCCACTGACTTAAAAACTAAATGTTATGCGCATCAAATTTCTAAAACACACAAAGGTACGAAGGATAAAAATATACTGAGTAATATAATGAGAATCCATATAAATCCAGTTGGAATAGTCAGCCAAGTATACAGACATAATAGGAATTATTATCTGCACTTGTGTGAGAGACATATTTAGACACTTGACTATAAACGAAATACAAGTCAGTAATGTGATGTGACTGCCAAGAGCCAGTGATCTTAGGTCCATTAATGCAAATGTAATGTCCAAATCACTGCTCTGTACCAGTCAGGCCACACCAAATGTGTATTCACTTACTCTGCAGTGGTTTTTTAACACAATTTTTATTCGTAACAATTTCCTTTCACATCACATTTATTTTTGAATATTTACTTTCCACCTCCCATAACCAGCAAGCCATCTCTTCTAACAAATTAACAAAAAAAAATTTTTTTTCCAGCAAAAGTTACCACATCACCTGTATTAGGGGGTCAGCAAAGTATGGTCCTTGTGAAATTTTATTGTATTTTAAAATGTAAATGCCTTTTTTTTTTTTAACTCAAGAGGCTGACTAGATTTGACTCTCAGGCTGTAGTTTGCTCATCCCTATTCTATATGATGGCATCTGGAGTATTGTACATTCTCTTAGTCCCTGACCTCTGTGATGAAGGAGAGAGAGGTTCATTTTCTCTACTCTTCTTTATACCTAAGCTTCCTATCATAGAAAGAGCACCATGTCTTAAGATGGATTTGATAAGTTGGAACATACCTAAAATATAAAGAGATATTCGGTGTGTTAAAGATTGGTTACAGGAGCCAGGGGTGTTTTTAGCCCCAAGAAGATGAGCTAGAGGGGCAATATGATAGTTATTTGAAGTGGTTATATGGGGAAAGGTTTGTATTTTAGTCATGCACAGCTCCAGAAGAAAGTGATTATAAGGAGGCATTTTTCATTTCAGCATAAGGGGGAAAAAAATTCTTCACAATTAGATTGTTAAAAAAGCAGCAATGAGAGGCAGCTAGGTAGCACAGTGGATAGAGCATTGGCTTGGAATCAGGAGGACCTTAGTTTCAAATCCGGCCTTAGACAGTGATACTCACTAGTTATGTGACCCGGGGCTAGTTACTTAACCCCAGTTGCCTCACAGAAAAACCCAAAACAAACAAACAGCAATGGATGGTTAGACTTGTAGGCATTTAAGCAAAGGCAGATTATATCAGAGGGGATTTATGCTTCTTGCAGGATCCTTTCTAACTCTGAGGTTCTAGGTTCATTTGAAGGAATTAGGAACATTTGATCTGGCGAAGGTACAACCTAGAAAAGGTCATACTGTCTTGAAATATTTGAAATGTCTTTTGGAAAAGGTATTAGACTTGATATGTATTGCAGTAATGAATAGATTAGAACCAGTGGAGTTGTACAGCCTTATTAGTACCCTAATTCTTTAAAGTATTAGAGCATAGTCGGAATGAGCACCCATTAGGAATGTTGCAGAATGTATTCTTATGTGGACAGGAAGTTGGACTGGATAACCTCCAAGGTCTCTTCTTCTTGCTAAAATTAGGTGATTTTCCACCCATCCCCCTCTTTTGGCAGAGTAAAGCTATAAAACTCCTAAGACTGTCAATGCATACCATACAGGACCCAGGTAGCAGCTTCTAGAAAAGGTAAAACCTTTAAAAGGTACGGGAGCCCCAACTTCCCTTGCAGAGTCTAAGTCTGAACCCTGCTTTGAATGAGCTGCCTTTTGGTGCAGGAAAAGAATTCTTTCATCTAAACAATCAAGTAAAATATGAAGTAACCTGACGGTGTCTGACTTTGAAAGAAGTTTCAGGAGCTACCCCTCCAGACTATGGGACTTATCTTTCTCTGACTTTAGTTTTTAGAAAGCCACTTAAATGATGAGACAACTCCTGCTATATAGGAATTGGTGTATTTACCAACGTTTCCTCGGAGTTCTGATTTCTGGTATGTAGCAGCACATAGATCCAACTAAGCTTCAAGTCAGGAAGTACTGACTTCATCACTTGCTAGTTCTGTGACTGTGGCTGTGTTGTTTTCTCTCTCAGACTAAGTTCCTTTATTTGTAAGATGAGGAGGATACACAAAATGGTTGTGAAAATACCTGTAGCTTTTTGTGCTTTTTAAGCTATAGTGTCCTATACATGTGAGCTGCTATTAAGTATAACTGGAAAACTCTCGCTATCCCTTTTCTATTTCTAGGGCACAAGCAGTGGATGCCGTGTTCCTTTCATCAGTATCCCCACAAGGCCTGAACAGGAATCTGTAACTCAAAGTTTTCAGGTAGAGTCCAAATATTGTGCAGGTTCTGAACCAATGCCACTAAGCCAGAGTTCATCTCCCCAAGTATGTCAGACCTGGAGTCCTCATCTTCCAAATACTTCCATGACGTTTGTCTAGCTAATGGTCCTAGTTTTATTGTCTCCTGGATAATTGTAAAACAGAGTTCACACAGCCTGTCAGGGTTTGTCTCATTTGGAATTGTCTTCATTGGCCTTGCCTTCTTTTCTTTTTGTTAGTTCCTTCTTTTCTCCAAATAGATTTGTAGACTCAACATCTCACCCCCATCTTAGAACCACCCCTTTGCCGATGAAGTTGCCTCCTTTCTTGGTGACACCGGCAGAATGCCTAGGGTTGGTTGACATTGGAATGCTGTTTCCAAAGACATTTTTATTAGCACAGCTTTTTGGGAGCCTAAGTGTTCCAGCCTTACCTTTAGACTTCTTCGCTTTCACTGGTAGCTTAAGGCAAAGCAAGCTCTCTCTCAGAAGCATTGTGATTCTGTAGAAAGAGCTACAAGCCCTGAGTCCATATGCTGACTCTGTTGCTTTATTGCCAGTATGAGTGTAGGCAAGTTATTTGGCTTCTCTAGGCCTCAACTTCTCCATCTGTAAGATTGCTTTGGACAAAAAGACCTTTCACTTCTAGCTTTAGATCCTGTGAACCTAAATTCACTGTAGTAGAGAGAAGCAGGTGAGTCTAGGTATAATTTTACTTTCCCTATGGGTCTTGAAATTAATAAATGACCACAACGTAGGCTGGAGGTTTTTTCAGAATATCTGAAGCATTTTTAGTCTTACACCTGAGAATTAGGAATTTTTTATCTCCACATTACATATTCTTCAATTCTGTCTGACCCATTTCTGTGATAATTTTTATATTTTTCTTCCTTCAGGGTTCATCTGTTCTATCCTTGTCTGAAATGTCCAAAGCCCCTCTCCAGAATGGCCTCTCTACTCCCCTTCCTACATCTGAGGGATCTACTACTCGTCTTTCTCCACCCAATGTCTCTGCTCTGCTAGACATTTCCCTTCCTGGACCCCCTGAGGATGTGTTATCTCAGGGAGAACCTTCAACTCAGATCAGTGACTCCATCATTGAGATTGCTATCAGTTCTGGCCAATATAGTAAGTAACACTTCTGTTCCTTGGAATCAGGAAAACTCTTGCTCCCTATTAAAAAGGAATATTATTGTTTAACAATAGGTAAGTCTCTGACTTCTTACCTGGGTCTTTCAAAGATTTATTGAAAAGGTATTTGTTCTTGAGAAGCCAGTAATTTAGATGAAAAACAGAAAATCCTGCTAGATTCCCTGAAGGAAGCATTACTGCTAGAAAGTAGGGTGACCACTGTGCTTGTTTTCTTTCCAGTGGCAACAGAAGACAGAATTGTCAGTGTTTAAATGTATTTAACCTGATTACTTTGTCTTTACTTGGGGAAGAAATTAGGACATGGATTGAGGCACCTCGGGGGTGCAGTGGATGGAGTGCTGGGCCTGGAGTCGGGAAGACTTGAGTTCACATTCTATCTCAGACACTTGCTAGCTCTGTGGCCCTGGGCAAGTCGCTTAACCTCTGTCTGCCCCAGTTTTTTCATCTGCAAAATGGGGATCATAACAGCACCTACCTCCCAGGGTTATTATAGAGATCAAATGAGATAAATATTTGTAAAGCTGTTAGCAAAGTGCCTGGCACATAGTAGTTGCTTAATAAATACTTAATCCAATTCATCCCACTGTGGTGTCAGATGAAATTAATGCTTGGTGTTCTCCTGGACTTAGCTACGCTCCTAGATGTCAGCTAGAGAGTTAGTATTTGCTAAAGTAACTAAATGATATCTTCTTCAGGCTAACTTCAGATAACTCTGAGCCTTGCAACTTCCCTTTGGAAGTTTGTGCTACTAATTCTGTTAATATTGTTCGTCTTGATTTGGAAGTTTATGCTGTTTTACATTATTGGACTTTAACTACTATGGCTAGCATAGTAAGGGTTAGATCAGATTTTTTTCTTCTAACTGAAATTTTAATGATACGATATTCTTTTATAGGTGAAGGAGTCTCTCTTTCACCGGCAAAATTGAATGGTAGTGACAGCTCCAAAAGTCTTCCATCCCCATCCAGCAGCCCTCAGCAGAATTGGATTGCTTCTCCCACTCATGATCCCCAGTGGTACCCCAATGATTCCACAGACTCTTCTCTCAGCAGCCTATTTGGTGAGTTTCTCTAATAGACTACAGTAAACTCAAACCCTTGACCCCCATGAGAACATTCTTCCCTAGGAACAAGCATCTGAGCCAGAAACTTCTCTTGTCTTCCATAGGTCACTTACTTGATTAGTGATCCTTTGACATTGATTTCCTAGAAATTCTTAATAGATCAGGATAAATATTTCATGTTATGGCCTTTGCTCTACTCTGTATTTTAAGAACCCTTCCCTAGAACCTAGTGAGCTACTTAGCACTCTGTGGTTCATGCTTTTATTCCTTAGAGAATTTGTTGTGAAGCAGGTCCCAGAGGTTCCTGTCCTTTCCAAAGACCTTCCCTTGCAGCCCCAGTGCTGGAAGTTTTTATGGATAGAGCATGACTTTGGTCTCCATTTTGTATTACTTTTTTTTTGAATGATCTGTATTTCGTGACTTTTTTTTCCCTGAAATGAGCCTTCTAGTTTGTTTATAAAAGTATCACATAACAGAATGAGTAGTTCATTTTACTTACAAGTAGTCCTCTGCATAGCTGGAACGCTGTTATTTGTCAGCTGTGTGCAGTTCTTGGCATGATTTCAATATTCAGTAAATCAGAGCTTACTCCCCTGTACCCCAGTCTGTCAAACTAGATGATAGGATGCACAGTATTCAAATATACAGGACTAACAGAACAGAAATGGAATTTTCTGTTCTATTGCTCTACTTTACTTTGAACATAAAATAGGGTTTAGGTGTATAAATGTGATTTTGCTGCATAGATGGCAATACTCAGTAGCCCCTGCTCCCAAATCAGATCCCAAAATAATCTTAAATTGGTCTCATGAGGTAGTTAGGTGGCATAGTGGATTTGGAGTCAGAAAGATGAAATGGGGACTCAGACACTTACTCTCGTGTGACTCTGGGCAAGTCTCTTAACTTCTGTTTGCCTCATTTTCCTCAACTATAAAATGGGAATATTAATAGCACCTACCTCACAGGGTGGTTGTGACAATCAAATTTAAAAAATTTGATCTCTTAATAAATGCTTCTTTGTTGGTTCCCACCCTCCCTTTCCCCTCCCTTCCTTCCTTCTCTCCCCCAAATTGATGAGAATTAGCATCCATGTCAGTCTTTGCTTTACAATTCTTAAATAGAAAGTTCTGAATGATGAGTAGGAGCTGCTAGGACTCGAGATTAATTTGGGATTACACCTACCCTTCACTTTCCACTGACTGTACTGAACTGTACTGACCTGTGGTGATGGTAATGGTCCTGAACCTGAGCCATATGCAAGTCAGGAATCAAGTGTACCAGTATATTGTTGTGTCATTATACTCTAACTTTCAGCATTGTTTTGGGAAAAATAGAATTTAATAATTTTTGTTTTCTTCTCTCCACTATGTAGCAAGTTTCATCTCACCAGAGAAGGGTCGGAAGATGCTGCCAACTCCAGTTGGGACTGCCAGTGGTACTTCCCTACTGGGCCCTAGCCTGCTGGATGGAAACTCTCGGGACTCATTCGTTTCCCGATCACTAGCTGATGTTGCAGAGGTATACTTTCTTTTTTTTTATTTTTATTTTTATATAAATTTATTTATTTTTAGTTTTCAACATATATTTCCACAAGATTTTGAGTTCCAAATTTTCACTCCATCTCACCCTTCCCCCCACCCAAGATGGCATGCATTCTGAATACCCCTTTCCCTAGTCCGCTCTCTCTTCTATCTCTCTGCCCCCTTCTCTTATCCCCTTCCCCTTCTATTTTCCTGTAGGGCAGGATAGACTTCTGTACCCCATTTCCTGTATTTCTTATTTCCCGGTTGCATGTGAAAACTTTTTTTTAAACATGTTTTTTAAAACTTTGGGTTCCAAATTTTCTCCCTTCCTCCGTCCGCACCCACCCTCACTGAAAAGGCAAGCAACTCAATATAGGTTATACATGTGCAGTTATGCAAAACAATTCCATAGTAGACATGTTATAAAAAACTAACTCTATTTCCCTTAATCCTATCCCACCCCCCCATTTATTCTATTCTTCTTTTTGACCATGTCCCTCCTCAGAAGTATTTGCTTCTGATTACCCCTTTCCCAATCTGCCCTCCTCTCTATCATCCCCCTGCTCTCTTGTCCCCTTCCCCCCTATTTTCTGTAGGGTAAGACAGATTTCCATACCCAATTGAATGTGTATGTTATTCCCTCCTTAAGCCAAATCCTATGAGAATAAGATTCATTCATTCCCTCTCACCTTCCCCATTTCCCCTCCACTGTAAGAGCCTTTTCTTTTCTGTTTTTTTGTGAGATAATTTACCCATTCTACCTCTCCCTTTCTTCTTCTCCTAGTATAATCTCCTCATCTTAATTTTGTTCTCCAGATATGACCCCTTAATCTTCAACTCACCCTGTGCCCTCTATCTATCTATCTATCTATCTATCTATCTATCTATCTATCTATCTATCTACATATAATTTTTTCCCTCCAACTACCCTAATACTGACAAAGGTCTCATGAGTTATAAATATCATCTTTCCATGCAGGAATGTAAACAGTTCAACCTTAATAAGTCTCTTATGATTTCTCTTTCCTGTTTACCTCTTCATGTTCCACTTGAGTCTTGTATTTGAAAGTCAAATTTTCTATTCAGCTCTGGTCTTTTCATCAAGAATGCTTGAAAGTCCTCTATTTCACTGAATGACCATTTTTTCCCCTGAAGGATTATACTCAGTTTTGCTGGGTAGGTGATTCTTGGTTGTAATCCTATCTCCTTTGCCCTCGGAATATTATATTCCATGCCCTGGTCCTTTAATGTAGAAGCTGCTAAATCTTGTGTTATCCTGATTGTGTTTCCACAGTACTTGAATTGTTTCTTTCTGGCAGCTTGTAATATTTTCTCCTTGACCTGGGAACTCTGGAATTTGGCTACAATATTCCTAGGAGTTTTCCTTTGGGATCTCTTTCAGGAGGAGATCTGGATTCTTTCAATTTCTATTTTGCCTTCTGGTTCTAAAATATCAGGGCAGTTTTCCTTGATAATTTCTTGAAAGATGATGTGTAGGTTCTTTTTTTGATCATGGCTTTCAGATAGTCCAATAATTTTTAAATTCTCCTGGATCTATTTTCCAGGTCAGTTGTTTTTCCAATGAGATATTTCACATTGTTTTCTAATTTTTCATTCTTTTGGATTTGTTCTACAGTGTCTTGATTTCTTATAAAGTCATTAGCTTCCATTTGCTCCATTCTAATTTTAAAGGAAGTATTTTCTTCAGTAATCTTTTGGACTTCCTTTTCCATTTGGCCAGTTTTTCTTTTTAGGGCATTCTTCTCCTCATTGGCTTTTTGGACCTCTTTTGCCATTTGGGTCAGGCTATTTTTTAAGGTGTTATTTTCTTCAGTATTTTTTGGGGTCTCCTTTAGCAAGCGGTTGACTTGTTTTTCATAATTTTCTTGCATCACTCTCATTTCTCTTCCCAGTTTTTCCTCTACTTCTCTTACTTGCTTCTCAAAATCCCTTTTGAGCTCTTCCAAGGCCTGGGACTGATTCATATTTTTCTTGGAGGCTTTGGATGTAGGAGCTTTGACTTTGTCGTCTTCTATTGTATGTTTTGATCTTCTTTGTCACCAAAGTAAGATAATATAGTCTGACTCTTTTTTCGCTGCTTGTTCATGATCCCAGCCAATTACTTGAGGTTTTAACTCTTTGTTAAGATAAGAATCTGCTTCCAATATGGAGAATGTATTGTTCCAAGCTTCGGGGGTTTATACAGCTGTTCTCAGAGATACTTGTAGGGACCTGTAAATTTTTACTTCTTGCAAGCTGGTATTATAAGGGGCGAGGTGTTTACTCCTTTCCTGGCCTGTGCTCTGGTCTGTTAGTGACCACAAGCACTCCTTTCTGTCCTGGAACTGTGAAGAAGGTTTCCTCTTCACTGCCACTACAAGCTCTACCATGCCAGCGCTCCTTCTCACCCCAGGACCACCGCCCAGAACTGTGACCCAGATCCAGGCACAGGCAAAGCAAGAGATTCCTGCCTCAGCACTGGCAAATAGATCCCTGAAATCCCCCTCTGATCATCCACTGGATGCCCCCTCAGTCTGTGGGCCAGAAGCTCAGGATGTAGCCACCGCCCTGGCGCCCGGGCTCTGCGATCTGGGCTCAGGAGGTGGTTCTGACCTAGCTCCTCTCTCAGCACCACAGAACAGACTTTTCCCACTGATCTTCTAAGTTGTCTTTGGTGTTTGTGGGTTGAGAGGTCTGGGAGCTGCCACAGCTGCCTGCTATTCAGTCCTCTGAGGCCTGCGCACCCATGCCACACTGCACTCTGCTACCAGCCCGATGCGATATACCTTTCTGTTGAACCATCCAGGTTGTCTTGGGCTGGAAATTTGCTTCATTCTGTCTTTTTGTGGGTTCTGTTGCTTTATAATTTGTTTAGAGCCATTTTTATAGGTATTTGGGGGGGTTTGGGGGAGAGCTCAAGCAAGTCACTGCTTTTACTCAGCCATCTTGGCTCCACCCCCAGAGGTATACTTTCTCATTGTTGGGCTTTTCTTTTTCTTTTCACTATTTTTATTTAGTACCCTTGCCTTGATCTTGAATACTTTTTTACTTGTTCTTTTTTTCTTCCACATTTGAGTACATTTAGGTTGTGTAATCATCCACCATTTCAAATCCTTTTTTTTAATTTAATTTTTTTGATTTTTTCCGTATGCTTTTGAGTTGAAAATTTTTCTCCCCCTTCCTCCCCCCCACCCTCCCCAAGATGGCACACAATCTGATATAGGTTTTACATTTACATTCTTATTAAACATATTTTCACAATAGTGAAGTTGTAAGTAAAAATTAAAACCAATAGGAAGAACCATCAGAAAGATGAAACAAAACTCAACAGAAGGTAAAAATAAGTGATAGCGATTCGACTTCCATAGTTCGTTTTTTGGATGTGAACAGCATTATCCATCCTGAGGCCTCTGGAAATGTCTTAGATCCTCATAATGCTGAGAAAGGTTCAGTTTAACAATCTTAGTCATTGCATAACGTGGCTGTTAAAGGAATTGCATTGGTTTTTTTTGTTTTTGGCAATTGGGGTGAAGTGACTTGCCCAGGGTCACACAGCTAGTAAGTATCAAGTGTTTTGTCTGAAGCCGGATTTGAACTCAGGTCTTCCTGACTCCAGGGCCAGTGCTCTATCCACTGTGCCGCCTAGCTGCCCCCATTTCAAATCCTTTAATTAAGTTTCCAAAGCAGGGGCTGCCCCAAGGTGTATGAGTAGGAAGCTAGTTAACATCCCACCCTTCCCTACAATTGGGATTTATAAATTAAGGATTTTATCTCTAGGAATGGTACCTACCCCTATCATCAAGTGCTCTGCCCCACCCACTTGAGTATGTTGTTTCTTCTACTCTGCACACTCCTACCCTCCCCGTAATCTGAGTCAGATGGAGTCACCTGGGAGTAGTTATAACTCTTACAAGCACTGACTGGACTATGTGCCACTGGGAAAATTCCTGCCTCTGCCCTCTAACATATATTCTCCCTCTCCCTTCAGGTTACCTCTTAGCCTTATCAAGGTAGTGCCCGGTGATTAGCAGCTTGCCTCTGCCCCCTTTTAGTTTTGGAAAGGACCCTGGAAGTTGCATGGGATGAGCAGATAACAGATCTCATTACCCTATCTTTCCCTCCAAACCCACCTCTTTTCTAAACTCTTCTTTCTGTGAAAGGCACTATTTTTTCATTCACATAAATGCTTGATCTTGGTGTCATCTTTGACATCTCACTTTTCCTTATCTGACATAGGTGATCAGTTATCAGATTTTACAATTTCTACTTCCCCATCTCTTGCATCTTTACTCTTTTCTTTACTTACACAGTCACCACCCTGGTTCAAACACTCACCATCTCTTGTATTGACTATTGCAATAGCCTCTTAATTAGTCTCTGGGATTCAAATCTCCTTTCTGGACTGTCTTCAAAATGGTGACCAAAGTGATTTCCCTAAAGTACAGGTCCTACCATACCACTTTCCAACTCAGACTCCAATGGCTCCTTATTGACTATAAGAACAAATATAATTTCATCTTTATCTCATCCTTTTAAAATTTTATATCATGTGTAATTTTATATCATGATTATTAGTAAAACAACATTTATTTAATTTATAAATAAATATATACTTGGGGCTGCACACTTAAAAATTTTTTACTGATGGCATATACGTTCAGAAAAGTTTGGAGACCATTGCTTTAATAAATTTTTTTTTCAGTTTGTAAAAAGTTTTATCTACTCTTGAAACTTCTGGTATGTTCCTTTGTTGGACAGATCCCACAGTTGAGCAACATGAAGGTCCTCACAGACGAAGTGGAATGTTAGAGCTAGATCACTAGTAGAACACCTTTATTTTCCAAATGAGGCAAAAGAGTCTAAGCTGCAAGAAAACTCATTGTTCACTGCCTTTGGAATAATTGAGCAGCATTTTGTTGTAGTGGGAATAGTCCCTGATTTAATAACTGAAGACCTGGGTTCATTTACTGATTCTGCTACTTAAGACTTATGTGAGCTCCTACAAGTCAGTTAATCTGGATTTCAGTCTCCCATTTGTATAAAATGAAAGAAATAGAATAGATGACTGTCAAGATCTCTTTCATCTCTGATCTTAACACTTCCCTTGGCAGGGTGATAGTAGGTTTACCTTACTTAAAAATGCATCTGGTTTTGCAGAGGTGATAATTCCTGTTGCAGTGCTCTTCTTTGCCATAGAGTTCAGTGGGGCTGAAGCAAGCTATAAAGATATGTAAATACTGCACAGATGCCCACTTAGCTCTTGCTCTGAGTTCTTATCATAAAATTATTCTAAAATTGGTCTGTTAGAACTCTGGAAGCTTGATGCTCAGTTTTCCAACAAATACTTGGGTCTGTGCTAGGAGTTAGGTAATATAAAGTCCATTCCCTTTCTCTCAAGAGCTTACAACTCAGTTTAAGAGGTAAGACAGACACACAAATAACTATAGTTTCCAATGGTAATACTGAGTAATTTAAACAAGAGTGATGACTTCCATTTAGGGTTTATTCTTTTTTTACTCATCGATAGTCATGTATTGAAACATTTGACAGTCCGGGAATATATTCACATTACTTCCTGTGCCAGGTGCCAGGTCACTTTCCACATAGTACATCCTAGCTAACTCTGCTTTATAAGAAACTGTGCAGAAGGTTAAAATATATGCAGTGCCTGCCTGGCACATAGTAGACATCTAATAAATTCTTGTTGACTTGGTAGAACTTATCACTCAGTCTTTTATCATCGTATTTATCCAGTGCTCTCAGAACTTAAGTGTCTCAGAACTTAGGAAGGCCCTATATACTTAGAATTCAGTGATTCCCACTTATCTAACTTGCAATATTTCCCTTCATTTCTGTGTCTTCCAGGTTGTGGATTCCCAGCTGGTATGCATGATGAATGAAAACAGCATTGATTATATCTCCCGTTTCAATGACCTTGCCCAGGAATTGTCCATCACTGAGTCAAGTCGTCGGGAGGTCCTTTTTGATGGAGGTGGAGGTGGCCCTCCAGTGGGTGACCTCTCACAGTGATCATGCTTAGCACAGTGGTGGCCACAATTAGGATGGACCCACGTTACAAATGGACATAGTATAGTTGTTCTTCTGACTGTTGCAGGGGGAAATCCCAGTGTCCCATTTTCAATAAAGTCAGCATCTTCTAACATTTGAACAGCTGTGCATCCTGGAATCTGTAGTACACCAGGAAGTGATCACTGAACAGTATTAAAGATGAATTCCCATGAGAGGAGCTAGAGCTAGTGATGTGGTTGGAAAGAATCAGAACTAGTTCTCTGGCATGGCATGAGTTAAGACTGTTGGTAAGAGAATCCCCTTCTGAGGCACTTTTTGCCTATATGTAATATTCTTAGTTTCATGTCAGTATTGGGGTCCAGACGAAGATTAGTCTTATGTTAAAACCTAAATTTGTTGTATTGAACATTCCAGTTGAAGGAGAAACTACAAGTTTTCTTTTTTAAAGGGAAGAAGTTGAGAGTGCCTTGGAATAGCCATTAAGTCCTGGAGAATTTTAAGCCACGCTCACTGGTGGGATTCCCGAAGTCATGACTGCCTTCCTCCGATTAATCCTTTGACATTCTGTTACTATGTCTGTAAAGTGGTGGGAGTTCGATAATCCATGATGCATTCCTTCTTCCCTGGGGAAGACAGCACAGCATCTCTTGGGCTCTCTGTGATTATAATTGCATTCCAGGACAGGTGATAGTGCAGATAAAGGCCTTATAGTACGTGGGATAGCAGAGGGAGAAATGTTGGTCTTAATAGATGTCAATTTGTTGCAAAGATTTTTCCTATCATCAACTCTATTGAAACACCAAACCTCTTCTAATCCCTTAATTGTAGGTTTTGGCTGACTTAACAGGACAGGTAAAGAATCATGTCTTATGCAGATAACATTGATTTTTTTTTTTAACTTTTGAGGGAGAAAAAGATCTTTTTTATTTTATGAATTAGGAACCATTAAAGAAGAAAACCCAATTAAGTTAGATTTTCTTCCCCCTCCCACTTGACTAGTTTCTTTAAGGGTGGCCCAAGGCATCATATGCTCAGTTATAGATGAAGACCTCTGCCTATATAAACTTTTGCACATTTGGTGGGATTTTGTTTGACATCTGAAAGGAAATCAGTGATCTTCAAGAATTGGGTAATTTAGATGAAGTAATTTTTCTCTATCAAATTTTCTTCTGCTTTTGGTTGGCTTTCAGCATATGTTGTTACCTTATCATAAACATGCTTGGTCCTTCCTTACTTTTCCAGGACCATTGAGCACCTCTCACTCTTGCCCAGCATCTCTTTTGAGAGAATTCAAAAACAAGGGCTTATATTCATATAAGGTAGCTCCTTAGTTTACAAAAGCCGTGTCCTTTGTAAAGAGAGGTCTTACAAATTCTTACAGTCAATTCTTCACATAGCAGGTAAACTTATTAAGTCTATCCACAACTGTCTTAACAGCCAACTCTGCTTACACAACCTATTTAGGCATCCATGTGATGAAGTTCAGCCTTGGCCACAGTGTCATCTGTGGCTTTATCCACCTGACACATTTAACTTTAGGTTATTACCTACTTAGCCTGTTGTCCAGTATTTTTATCTACTCTGCCATTAACTCCCACCTTTGTTGAAAGTAAGAGTAGCATTTCTTCCTCTCAGTAATTCTTAGGCAGGTCTAGTAGCCTTCAAGGCTATTGTTAGCTACTGGTTAGGTCTGGTTTCTTCTCTCCCCAGTTGATCGATCGCCCAGTTTTTGGACATATATAATCCATAGGTAGTTTGGCCTATACCAGTACCTGGTAAGGGAGCACTTAAGGCTTCTTCAGGAGAAATAAAATGTTTGTTTTACTGTATTTAGAGAATTGTGGAATCCTACAAGTTGAGATTATTTCACTTCAGCAATAAAGGGAAGACATTCTAATCCCTAAGACAAAGGGAGGTATTCAGGGTTCCTGGATGGAGACCATCTGGTTTTCATGTTGTGGTTTCACTCCCATGAAACTTCACTCCCTGAAACACTTTCTCAGAGCTCTTATATGATACCTCATATAGTAGTATTATAGTAGCTTATGATTAAAGCTTTCCCTGGATCTGAAGTACAGCACATAACTAAAAATAAAGGAGAGGAGGAATATGGCACAGTTAAATCAAGTGATGTGAGCAACTGTGGTTGTATAGTCTTTAAACCAAGTTGACCCGTTTTCTGGGTTGATTCATCAGTCCTCCAAACTCAACAAAGCTGAGGAATATCTCCTGCCCTTGATATCTGACTTAGCCATGGGTTAAAACTCTGCTGGCTGAGTTTGCATCAGTATTAGTCTTCCTGAACTCTGTACTCTAACGCCATAGAAACCAAGGAGTCTTTCAGGAATATTGCTGGGATTAATGATCAATTGTGTCATGACCATGTGACCAGCTGATAATACTTCTGACCTAGTTACCCAACAGTTGCTCTGATATGTTAGGGCAAACAAATGGAAACTAGCCAGTTGGTTTTAAATTAAGAGCAAAGAGGAAGAAAAATGTTGCAGTAATCTTATTCAAAGATTCTAAAAATCAGAAGTTCCTCTGTTTTGAGTCTCTGGAACAGACTCTACTTGCCACATGGAATTCAAGTAAATATCTTGTTGCTGCAAGTAATATCTTAGGTAGTTAGGGAAGCTGGAATGGCATGGAAGCAGAAAGCGATTTGTCAAATACCTCCACATTTCCTCCTTACCAGTGACAAACATGAAATACTATGAAGACCTTTGTTTTTCCCTTTGGCAGCAAGTCACATGGATGCTTTACTTAACGTGATTAAGGGAAATTTCATAGTTTGTAGCAGAAAACCTATTTCTCCTAGCCTTATAAATATATGTATAAATATAGAAATCTTTCAGAGAATCAGAAGTAGACAGGATATGTCAGAATGTAGGAGAATTCTTTTGTTTCCATTCAAGTGGATTAGCCTTTCAATATGAACTTATGGTTTACTATGTGCATTTGAGCTGAAAGCAGATCAGTTCCTTAAAAAAATTCAGGACTGAGTAAGAAACTCTGGCTCTTACAAGATTGATTGATATTCTTAGCCCCGTCTCCATTTGTGGAATTATACAATGATGGGCATCTCCCATTATATCTTTTTGAGAAAGCAGAGGCAACTGAATGCTCATCCTTTACTATAGTGCTTACAATGAGATATGCTGTAATCTGGGTCTGCTAGGTGTAGAATTTATTGTTCAAGGAGAAAGTTAATTGAAAACAATTAGCTTACCAGTATTTCCTTGGTACCCCAAGTCTCCTGGTCCTAACTATAGGAATTACCATTGTTTATTAGGCTACCCCATGATATAACTTCTAGATTGATGGCCTTTTAAAAACTACATCTTAAAACCAAATCACATTACTGAGCTCAAACTTGTTTTGCAAAGAGATGTCTTTTATATGCTGATGCTGGAAACCCCTGAGGAAGAAATTTAAATACTCGGATGCATTTCTAAGGGAATACTGCACTTTGGTGGTTTTTCTTTCTTTCTTTCTTTCTTTTTTTTTTTTTTTTCTTTTTAAACAGCTTCCGAAACTCTCCTAATTCCACAGTAATTTGTAAGTAATGTTAAGTAAATTAAACCTTGGAAGCACTACAGCAACCTGTTATCATACATTACTGGAACAGGATAACTGGCTTTAGAGTTTATGGTTTGGCAGCAGAATTTATTGCTGTTTCTTCGAAAAATAGTTAAGCCATATCATCCAAGGTTTTTGGCTTGTTTGAGATGTGAATTTGTTTTATAGATTATAAATATACATATGCAGTGTATGTATAAAGCAGATTGCCTGTCCTTCCTGATTATTTTTTGTACCATATTGTAAATTATATTATTTATTCTTTACCAATTTTGCAAAAAAAAAAAGGTGTTTTGGCTATTTAATATAATAAACAAAAGCTGTTAAACTTCCTATGTTTAAATTTCCAGTTCAACTTGTAAATCTGTTTTTATTATTGTGCATAAATACATACTAATACTTGATCTAATAAGCGTCCTTTTCTGCTTGGTTTTTCTGTTTTGATTTGCATTTTCCATCTGCAATGGATATAAGTTATTTTTATTACTTAAAATTTAGATTTCTGAAAGAGCTAGCGCTGAAGGAAAATTACACCTAAACTTTTCTTAGGCAGGTTGTGAGGATCTTAGCACAGCATCTAACACATAGGCATTTAATAAATCCTCTCTCCCTCCCTTTCTTCTCTCCTCTTCCTCTGTCCACATAGGGAGTCATACCCTTAGGACATTACCAGTCTTCCTGACCTATGTCTTGACACCAGACTCCAAATGACTCTGGAGAGAAGTCCTTTCCTTCCTTCATTCCTTCCTTTCCTCCCTTCCCCCTTCCCCTTCTCTCCCACTGTTCACATGGGGAAATTATATCCTTACATATGGGTGCTCTGTCCAAGGAATATAAATTTTGATTACTTACATTTCACAAGATATTCTTGAGGTTTGGGGGCTAGATTTTTTTTTCTTCCCTACTTATTCTCTTTTTCTTTTTCGTCCAAAAAGTGGGACAATTAACTTTTGTCTCATGTAGTTTTCATTTATGATTTCTTGAAGTATAGTTCTGGAAAACCAATCTTTGATAAAGGCCTTGGAACTCAAATGGAGCTAATTGACTATGTCTTTAAACCCAAATCTCTCTGGCTCTCACCGACTAACAACAGGTCCCAGCCCAAACCTCACTAGCTCATTGTTTGGGATTTGATGGTCTCAGAGTGTGTGTGTGTAAATAGCAGTTGTTTCTGTTCTGGCCAGAAACTCTGAGGGTCTTCCTTTCCTACACTGATTTCTTTTGAGAAGGAAAACTAGGCCATCTTCTGCCTTAATTGTTAACCTAGCCTTGAATCACTGAATGGGTGTTGCCTAAGACAAACTGAGAGCTGGGAAAGACCTTAGCTTAAAAAGGCCAGGCTCTCCCACTGCATCTAGGGCCAGTTGCCAGTCCTTCCCGGTATCTAGCTGCTGTACTTTGATGACTGTGTAGGAGTGAGGGGGTGATGACTTTGCATATCCCTGACTCATTTAAATCCAGTTCATTTGCATGTCAAAACATCACCCTCCTGGTGTCTTTGGTCCTCTTCCAGAACAAAGGACAACCAACCAATCTCTCTTCCTTCTTTCCTTCCTTTCCTCCCTCCTTTCTTCTCTTCCTTCCTTCTTCCTCAAAAGTATGTTAAATGGTCATATGGTGGAGAGAGAGAGAGAGAGAGATATTGATTTATTCTAAAACTGTCAAGAGTCTGAAGCCAGATTTGCTCCAGGGCTGGTTCTCTATTCATTGCGTCCAACATCGTCACTTCTATATCCTTATTCAAAGTTATAATACAGGGTAAAATGAAGATCTAAAACAGAAGTATAGAATTGAAAGTTGCTTCTAATGTAATTGCATTTTTCATTCTGTAAATAATAGTATGAATGCTTTTTGATCTCTAATCGACCAAAAATGTTTACTTACATTGAAAACCTGTCTCCATTTCAAAGAAAAACTGAGTGGTGAATAGTATTTGTCACCAGTTGTTCTGTAGATAAAAGCAAAGGAAACAATTTAGTGCTGTGAGGCTGCAGTGAAATGAAATTCTACAATTGTAGCTGAATAGATATCTAGGAAAAGCTGCTTTTCCTACCTTCCCATTCTCCCTTTCAGTTCTTAACTGAAAATGCCCAGGTGCTGCTACATCTCTTAAATGCTTGTTTTGGGAAGAGAGTACCTTATGCCTTAGGCACCAGAGGAGATAAGAATTACGTAAGACCAGCTCTCTGAATTTAAACTTCGTCCAGTAATTTAATACATTTATTTAATACGTTTATTAACTGCCTATGTAATAATCCCTCCTTTCCAGGGAGTTTGGGTTCTACTGGGAGGTAAAGGCAAAAGTTAAAAGGAGGAGGGTGTGGTGCAGGGAAGAAAAAAGACAGTGAAAGCAAAGATCTAGTTGGGCTTTTTTTTTTAATTGGAGAAAAGTAGGTGTCACAGCCTGTAGGTGAATCACAAGTGTTTGATGAGGAAAAAGATGGTTTTTTCCATGCTGTTTGCTTTCAGTCCAGTCATTTCATTTCTGTTTCTAAGACACTTTAAAATATAAACAAGATTGGTCAGAGTATTTGTAGTTCTCAAGAGGAAAGACAAATATAAGGTGATGGTATAATTTTTAATAACATCTTATAGCATTTCAAGCTTTGCAAAGCACATCACATATATTATCCTCACAACAACCCTGAAAGGTAGGTATTATTAGCCCCATTTTACAGATGGGAAAACAGGGAAACAAAATTAAGTGACTTACGAAGGGGTCACTCAGTTAGCAACTGTTTGAGGCAGGATTTGAACCGAAGTCTTTCTGATTCCAGGTCCAGCACTGGGCACTTTGCCATCTCACTAGGTGAATTTTTGGGAAAATTCATATCCTTTGACCAAGTTATCTATCACGTAATGCTTTTTGATCACATATTTCTTAACATTTATTTATTTCATATGTAACCCTTAATAGATTTTTTTTTGGTAGAAATATTCTTTCCCAGTTACCTCTTGATTCTAATTTTGTTCATGCAAAAGAAGAGCTTGTATTCCAACCCACAGATGCGCATGTACAAGACCCATAGATGTGTTGCAGGGGAATAATTATGGTGGCCCTCGAACCAAGTCTTGAAGCTGATAACCAAGACTTCCAAGGCAAGGAGTTGAGGAGGCAACTTCGGAGAAGACTGGAAGAAGCCCGTGCACCCTGCAGGGCGGCGATCGCCTCCCCGAGTCCTTCCTGGACTGACCTGGGGTGGGCGGGAGTGGAGAGGGAATGTTAAAGATTCCCTCCCTCGCGGGGCGAGGGGCGGAGCGCTGAGCGACGCCGGGCGCCGAGGCCCTGATTGGCGGCCGCGGCGCCCAATGGGCGGGCGGCAGGCGGCCCCCCCTCCTGGCGGCGGTGGGTGGGAGCGGGAACGGTGCTGGTCCGCAGAGAGAGAGGAGCTCCATAGCCGCCGCGGCTGCCACAACCACCACCGCCGCCGCTGCCACCGCCACATCCGCTGTTACCATGTTCCAGGGGCGGGAGAACGAGGGCGGCAAGCCAAACTCCAGGTGCGGCCGGCCACGGGACGGGCCGAGAGTGAGGCTGAGCCGAGCCGAGGCGGCGCCCGCCCCGCAGCCGCCCACCCGGCCCGGGCCACGTTGAGGAAGGAAGCGAGGGGGGCGGGGCAGGCTGGCCCGGGGCGTAGGGGGCCGAGAACGGGGTGCTCGAGCGGAGGGAGCGCTCTCGTGCGTCTAGCCCGGGCCGGGGACCCTTGGGGGTCCGGAGGAGGGAACAATTAGGGGCGGGGGAGAGGGGAACAATTGGAATAAGCGCGGGGAAAGTGGGGGAGGGGCGACCTGGCCGAGAGGAGGGGGCCGAGTTTGGAGCTTCGCGGGGGAGGGACCGCAAGAGGAGAAGGTGTGTACCGGGGGGTGTGGCATCGGAGGTGTGAGCGGCCGGAGCGGGGAGCCGCATCCGGGCGGGGACAGGGAGGAGGCGCAGATGGGATTTGGGGCGTGTTGAGGGGCGCTGGGTGTTCCGAGAGGACCGGGTCAGGGTCTAAGAGCAGTTACTAAACAGTGGGCGTCCACTACGTTCTGCCCCCGTGGAGGATGTAATTTGTTCGGGCCGGGGTGAGGGTAGGTTGTGGGGTCGTGCTCTGGGGACAGGCTAGTGAGCCCTCTACACTTCGGAGAGGCCCCGTCTCCACTTCCTGGAGCTGCTCTGGTAAGGACTGCCCCAAGTGCAAAGGACCTTTACACCAAACATGCTTAACCCATTTGGTGTCACGTACCAGTGTGGTGAAGCCTATGGACCCCTTCTGAAATGTTACAATAAAATGTATAAGATTACAAAGGAAACTGATTATATTGAAATAGTTATAAAAAAAATTTTTTAAATCACAGAACCTGGGTTATAAACAACTGCTTTACACCCTAGCGTTGTATGCACCCTTAGATGTTATTTAAACTGGGTTTCAGAAGCTTGGAAACCCTCCTTGGAAAGAGTTAACAGGTCAGCTTTGGGCCATTCGTTTTAGAGTACAACAGTGGTGGTTCTCGTATGAGCACCTTAGAAATGATGGCATTTTTTAACTCCTGGACCTGGGTTTCCTGGTACTTAATTGAATTTCATGCTGAAATTAGGGATACAGGCAATGTGACCTAATAAATAGAATGTTGAATGTGATCTCTCTAGCTTAGCACAATAAATGTAATAACCCTAAGATCACTTTCATTGTGCTCTAGGAAAATGATGTTTGAAGTTTTCCATCCATAAATTATACAAATGAAAAGCCCAAGGTAAACATGAACTAAAAGAATCTTTGTTGTGACTAGAAAATTTCCCCAAGCTGAACATTCAGCTGAATATACAATGTTATGGAAGTTTAGGCAAGAGTTGTGGTGCCAGGAGTCTTGGAAACAATGACAATGTTTGTGTACCATCAGAGCTTAGGTGGCTTATGACTAAGCTCTTATTTCTCTTTTGTAGTTTCTCTCTTCTTGTGTGTATGTGGTATGGGCACATCTGTATAACCATCCCTTTAGTTTGCTGTGCACTTACCAAGATGCTATTGAGTGCATAAATCTGGTTTGTAAAACTTTGTTTTACCCATTTTGTCTTTTTCCTGCATATATGAGAGATGCCCTTATCAAATATGTCCCATCACTTTGATTTTTGATTCAAAAAATAAAAATCTCTAAAATACTATTTGATAAGTTTTGGAGATAAGTTTGTGTTGGTATTGCCTCAAGAAGTCTTCTAGAGCTACTTGATGGCTGAGCTTGTTTGATAAATTTTCAATTATTTAGCTCAAATATGGAAATATTCTTGCATCTGTCTCCAGTGTACTGAGATCTTTGCCCTGTAGCATACATTTCACACTTCTAGTGAATTTGTTTCATTTTGTTTTGCAAAAGGAAAATGCCCTCATTTCATAATTTCAAGAGAAGGCAAACCAGCATTTCTCTGCAGATTTATGTTTGGGAGCAGAAAAATGTCCTTCCCAAATTGTTTTTGTTCCAGCTGAATGGTGGTGTTCCAAGTTGAAGGCATTTTTGTAGATAACTTGGGACTTGAATGTTTCTACCTTCTTGCTTTGAAGTGGATCACAGTTTTCTTTATAGGCACTTACCTCTTAATTTTCATTAACATTACTTGTCATCCTTTGTTTTTTCTAAAAGATTATGTTGCTTAAAGGGATTCTAAAAAGATTTTGTGTGGCATAATGATATAGCCATCATTAATAATTAATCAAATCTTTCTTAAAGCTATAAAATGTATATTTTGAAGAATTTGGTTTGGGTCTGGCTTCCTTTGCTGCTACCAGCATAGAGAAGGAAACACAATTTGCAGTCCACACTCCAGCTTAGTTTTCTCCCCAAATGTTGGAAGAGACTTGTGGAATTACAGGTATTGGTTTTTAAAAAGGAAAAAAATTTCTTATTATGAGTTACATTTGAACTTTTTATTCATCTCTTTTTGCTCCATAATTTGAGTTGCATTTTTTGTTTTATTTTATCTTAAAATAAAATTTAAATGTTTTATTTTTAAAAAATAAATTCTGCAAAGTATAGTTTTAAAAGTAATGTATGAGTGAAAACAAAATAGCAAGTACTTCACTCTTTTACATAAATCCAGAGAGCTTCTTAGTCCATGAAAATCCTTTCATGCATAGTATCAGAGTGGTCATCTGATGGCAAATCTGATAGAATTAGGAACCTGAAAAGTTAGAAGAACAGTTACTATGGATTTTATATTTTTATCTAAGTTTCTATTAGCTCCACAGACTGATTTGAAAACCAGAATTATCTGCTTGTATTAGGTTGCAGGAATTCTGTAATTATATAACATGTATAGAACTTAAATTATTGGTATTTCTTTTGCCTATTTGAGTTGGCTTCTATTTCTAGGCATTAGGAATTGACCAAGGATTTTTGAAGCTTGGGATATTTAGGATAATAATCTGTAGCCAAAATATTCTTTTATTTGTCTTTCCACATTCTTTTTTTTAAAACTCAGTTGCTTTTTCTACAGTGTTACTTTATCTTATATGCCCCAATTTTTAAAATAGAAGAGAGTCTTTGTAAACATCCCTGTTCTTAAAATCAGTCACATTACTAGACTTAGTAACTGACATATAAATTGATTTTTTCTCTCCTTTAAAATTTCTTATTCTCAGTTCATGAAGTGAGCAAACATTTCTTTGAATGGTGGCTTTGTCTTATATTTTATTTTATTTTTTGTTTGGGTTTTTTTTTTTGTTTTTAGGCAGTTGGGTTAAATGACTTGCCCAGGGTCACACAGCTAGTAAGTGTCAAGTGTTTGGTCTGAGGCCGGATTTGAACTCAGGTCCTCCTGACGTCAGGGCTGGTGCTCTATCCACTTCGCCATCGAGCTGCCCCTACCTTATATTTAAAATGCTAGAGGAAGGAGAGTATGCTACTGTCACTTATTTATCCTTGAGAGAAGTGAATGTAATAATAGTAATTTCTATATAGTGCTAAACTTTTACATATATTACCTCATTTGCTTCTTAGCAACCTTGGAGGCAGTGGTAATATTGTATAATCAGAAACTGAGATTCATAAGTTAAGTAACTTGTCCAGTCATTCAGTCAGTGAGCATTTATTAAGTGCTTTGTGTGTGCCAGCTGCTATGCTAAACACTATTGATACAAAAGCAAAAAGACAGTCCCTGTCCTCACAATCAAATGGGGCAGTAAAAACATGCAAACTATATACAGCATAAATAGGAAGTAATCAACAGAAGGAAAGTAAGTTACCATAATATATGACTGGAAACTTGTCTTCTCCCAGCCATCTTAGGAGAAGCATTTCTTGAATTAATGGAATTTTAATGGTTTTCAGTAATTAAGGGAGAGAGATGACTTCATAGGAAGTGGTGGGTTACTCTTGCAGTCAAGAAGAATTTTGAAGAAGAGCTAAAGGAAACTTAGAGGGAAATACACACACACACAAATATATATACACAAAGGGTATATGTATGTATACATATACAAAGTCTTTTATTTTTATATACATTGTGTGTGTAAGTGTAAGTCAGTGAACATCACCAGATTGCTTTCAAGCCAAGCATCATATAAACTGCATTTGATATGAAAGGCAGTGGGGAACTCCTAGAGTTGATGAACAAGTCAGATGGTCCACATAGTTAATAAATATAATGTGACTTTAATCCCTGATTTTGAGTATTGCTTGAAAGAGAGAAAATTGAAAGTGAAGAGAGCTATAAAAAGATTTCAGTAACTCTGGCATGAGATGAAAGTACCTGAATAGTTACTTGGTTATAGAGATGAAAAAGAAGGGTTAGGTTCAAAAAGTAGTATAAACCTAATTGTTAATTTTACAAATGGCCTCAATTAATTTAAAATGCACTGAATCCAAACCTGATGCTCTATGTATAGTGAAATAATGTCAAATTCGGTTCAACTTGGTGAATTTATTTCCTTTCCCTTTAGAAAAAGAACTGTCTGGGCCTAGGAATGTTAGACTTGCTGCAACTAGCCAAGGAAAATACATAAACTCTTGTTAAAACTAGAACTGTAGTGATTTATAAATATTTGTTGGATTCAAAATAACATATCCACCAAAGTACTTTGTATCTTGCAAGCCTTGTTTATAACAGGAAATTAAATCAAACCAAAAGTTTCCCCACTCTCTTAACCCTTTTTCCCCATCCTTTAATGCCTCCACCAAATCTTTCTCCAGGAAATGATAACTGCTGAATTGTAAACTGCAGCTTATGCTCTTGCCTGTTCTTTCACTCAAGCAGTCAGGGATACATTGGCATCATATCAAAAACCCTGGCACTACCAGCTGTTGTACTTGGCTTCTATTGTGTTTACTGACTGACCCATGTATATTGTCAAGTTGTGGTGTCTGGCAACCTTATCTCCTCTTTGCAAAGAAATGAGTCTGCCATACTATGTATCTTTGTATTAGAGGGGAAAAGTGTGAGGTTTCTCATTCATTTTGTTGTCAGCTGCTAGATTGCATGAGAAAAAAATTATGTTGTAGTGACCTAGTTCCTTAAGGTTATAATAAATGTGAAACCAGATCTAGATTTTACCCTTATAAAAATATATTGAGCTATTCTAAATATCATGTGAAGGATTTAAAACCAGAATTGACAAAGACCTAGTGGAAAGAGCGTTGGATTTGGGAGGAACTAGGTTCCAATTCAGCTTTACTTACTAACTGGGTGACCTTCAGTATTTAGTCAACAAGCATATAAAAAGGCAAAAAACCAGTCTTTACCCCCAAGAGCATGTAATTAACTAGGTAAAGAGGAACATTCAAAATATATACAGAATAGAAGAAGGTATCTGAAAAAAGAAAGCATAGAGGGGAAGGGGAGTTAGGATGTGGCTTCTTGAGGGAAGCCATGGAAACTAAGGGATAAAGATGAGAATGCAGACCCTTCCAAGTATGGGACACTTCTGTTGCAAAGGCCAAGAAAATGAGAGATGGAATGTCGTGTTTGAGAAAGTGCAAGTGGAGGGGCAGCTAGGGTGGCGCAGTGGATAGAGTTCCAGCCTTGGAGTCAGGAGGACCTGAGTTCAAATATGGCCTCAAAAACTTGAAGTTACTAGCTGTGTGACCCTGGGCAATCATTTAACCCCAAGTGCCTCACCAAAAAAAAAAAAGAGAGAGAAACTGCAAATAGACCAGAGTAATTGAGTCAGTTTTTGGAGGGGTCATGTTTAAAAAGGCTGGAAAAGGTAGGAAGGGCAGTTTAAGAAGAGCTTTAAATGGCAATAATAAAACTGATTTTGTAGACTTGGGTGATTGGGAATGTGATTGATGGCCCTCAACAGTAATAGGGAATTTGGGAAGAGGGATGGAAGTTTTTGGGGGGTAAGGTGATAAGCTCTGTCTTCTAGATTCATTTAAGATCCAAAATCATATAGTACTGGCCTTTCAGATAAAGCTAGAAGCTTTACTGTAACTCAGTGTGTCTTCTCTGTACCACAGGGTAATGAAACCCCCTGGAGGAGACTCAAGCAATCTCTTTGGAACTCCAGAAGAAGTTATTCCTTCAAGTAGACCAAATAGAATGGCATCTAATATCTTTGGAGTATCTGAGGAACCTCAGAATACACCCAAAAGGTCAAATCCTCCAGGTGAGATTCTCTTTTCAGCTCTCATCTTCTCCCCTCTCTTTCGTGGCGCCCCCCCCCCCCGTACTACCCTTTTCACTGACTACTTGGGCAACGTTTTCTTTTTTTTTTTTCCTTTTAAAATTTGGTCTTCTGATATAGGACAGGTCTTATTTTTCAGGTTACTCAATAAGAAAGGTCTCACTTTGTTTCTTATTCCCTCTTTGGCCTGAGAGCTCAAAAGTCTGATCTTCTTGAATACTTGCAGGTGAAGAAAAGGAGTAGGAGAAATGTTTATCTTAGTTGTATTATTGTCCCAGCACCTAGATACTTAGTCATCCAATGTTTCCCAATGTCCAGAAATTAGAATTATTCCACTCTTACATATTTAAGAGATGGGGCCCGGAAATGAGTTAGATAATAGAGCATATCAAGTAGCACCAGTACTAGAAGCCCCTCATAAACTGAGCCCAGACTCTTTCTTTAAGAACATGAAATTAAAGATTCGGTGGGCCAAAGGTCATTTTGGAAAACAGAAAAGTTTTGAGAAGAAAGTGTTATTTATGTGTCTTGCCTTGGGTTCTTGAATAGGGTTCATGTTTTTGTTGGTATCCAGCACTAAAGCACTCATGAATGTAGAGATTTAGTAGTACCAGGACTGTACTTACAGACTGTTTATATGAAAAGATCACAGAATAGTACATTTCATTGAAGACTGCAACAAAATTTAAGGCACTTCAAGGTGAACGTACCCAGCTCATTTAATACTGATTTAATAGGATTATTGTTAGGTGCACTCCCAGGAGACTGTTCTGAGTTGCTTTGCAAGGCGTAGCAGCTAACAGTCATTGTGATACAAGATTCAATAAAAAGCAAAACTTGTGATATGGAAAGATCTCAGTTGCATTAGGATTCTATATCTCAACAGTGGAACTTCAACTTCACAGCATGGGAAAAATGAGTGTAGGAATTATTATGCCTAGGGTTTGGAAAACTTTTTGTTTTGTTCATATTAGTTGTATCCAGGGATCATCTCTGCAAATTTATTACTTTTTAAAGTCCCCCTTTGAATGTTTTTCCTATAGAATTTTTCCTTTGACAGCAATCCCTGGCAAAATGCCAAACCTACCTCAAAAATAAGATGACTTTGGAACTTAACCACCATTCCTTCAAGGCATTAAAATGATGTTTCCTCTCTTTAACTTTGACCTTGGGGTTATAGTCTTATCTCTTACTGCTGTTCAGTACCCCTCCTCTGTAATGCATCATCTAGATCTTCACACACACAGAATGTGCTTTATATTTTATCACATGTGAGGAATTTTAGAACACAAAGTGTAAAGGGAGGCACATTACAGATAGAGTCTAGTTTTGGGAAACAGTATATTTCTTGTTTTTGTTCTTTTTACACTTCATTTCCAGATCAGATAGATATGTTCTCTTAATCTCTTGGTCTCTGAGGAAACGTTAGTCCCTGACTAATGGAAAGTACAGCTCCCTGGGGTTTAGACTAAAATCCACAACCAGATAGTTCCTAGTTTTCCTTAGCTAGTTCTGTATCTTCCTTGAATTCCGTACCCAGAAATTTCTTTTAGTCTTTTCTATATTTCTGCCCTTTCCTTCCTCCCAACATGTTGAAGAATTCTATTTTTTCTTTGTTTCTTTCCTATGAGGTTAGGGTAATAACCCTAACTGGCATAAATTTACATTTATAAAACTATATTCATATGAGAGTGATCATGTACCTTTTGGCTGTAGAAGACTCTAATAGGCATGCAGTTAAGGAGGAGTCTTAAGCCTCATTCTTTCTTCCTCTCCAGTTGCTACTTTCTGTTTCAATATTACTTCTCAGCAGTATCCTTTGGCACAAAGAAGTCACTTCTCAGAAGATCACAGGGTCTCAGTTACCCCTAGAACAAAGTACAAACTACTCTTTTTAACATTTAAAGCCTGAATTTCACTTATTTGTTCATTTTTATTATATAGCTCCCCCTTGTGCCCTCTGTGGTCTGGCCAAACAGGCCTTTTTGCTGTTCCTTGTATATAAGATTTCACCCTCCATCTGTATCCTTTGGCACAGGCTGTTCTTGCCTGGAACTCATTCCCTTTTCACCTTCACCTCTAGAGTTTAATTTGGTATTAGATCCCTTAGAACCATCCTCACTCCAGTTCAGAAGTTATAACACCTTTTTGATTGAGATTGTTTTCTGAAATGTTTACTTATATATGACATAGCCAGATAAATTACATTGATAGTCTTGAAAGGGTAGAGGTAGTAATGGAAAGAGCACCAGACAGAGTCAGGAATTTGGGGTGTATCTCAGCTTCCACTGCTACTAACTGTGTGACCTTGTCTCTTTGAGCCCCAGTTTCCGCTTCAAAGTATAAACCCCCCATCTTGTGATCTTTGGAATGGGGATAATAGCCATTTTACTTTCTGTCTCAGAAACTGGTTTTGAGTAGAGTGCTTTGCAACTATAAAACACATTTAAATATGGGCTGTTCTGATGTGATTAATTCTACAGGAGGCAAAGGAAGTGGTATCTTTGAAGAGCCTACTCCTGTGCAGGCTCGATATCGTTTGAATCCCCCTGGTGGGAAGACCAGTGACATCTTTGGGTCTCCAGTCACCATTACTGCGCCCTTAGCACACCCAAACAAGCCCAAGGTATGAACTTCTTGCATTCAGATAGCTATGGCTAGAGCCAAAAAAAAAAAAGTTTCTGCCAGTAGATTCATTAAGGAGCTCTTAGGCATGGAGGATTGAGCTATTGGGAAGCAACAAGTTTAATATTTTCCTAGACATAACTATCAGTTACATAAAGTTGTGCATCTTCCATCATTAATCATCTGTCTTTTGATATCAAAGAAAGAATCTTGAAAACAGTGACTCTCTAAAAAGAAGTCTTAGTAGAGCCTTAATTTTGATCACAGAGAGTTTGAGCCTCAAAATAGTCAGTCTTTTAATTCCAGTTGTAGTCAGAATAGTCATAATGTTAACAGATAAAAACTGAACTTACAGTAGAAAAAGTCAATTTTGAAAACACCATGTCTCTAGCCTAAGAATTCCTTCTCTCTGCTCTTTATGTTATATCTGTTTCTTAAAGAAAGGCCAGCCTGACTACTAGCTATCTGAAGTAGGAAGTAATACGAGCCATATATTTTTGAATCTAATATTCTAAGCTGAGTCTGTTCCCCATTAAGTTGCTGGGAGCAATGTGTCCTTCTGCCTCAGTATTTTACACTGAGAGATCATCTTGAAAATCTAGACTTTGAAAATGAAAAAGACTTTGACCTTTGAAGAAGCTGCTTGAATCCATGTGTATGGCCTTCCTTTAGTGAGAGATCAAGTCATTGAAGTTAGTGATAGTTTTACTAAGTCCCACAGCCTGTGATAAACTGACTTAGACTTTCTTTTGGTTCTTGTTCCAATTTGTCTGTGTTGGATGAGGCCATTGGAACTCTGAGACTATCCTGTAGAAACCTAGAAAATCCTTGATGTTAACAAATTATTTTCTGTAGGACACTCCTACGTACCTTATCCAGCCAGCAAGGGGTATTCTGTAATCTTGAGTGCCTAGAGCAACAAGCTCACTGCCATTGCCAATATTGGTTGTTGTCTGGGCAGTCTTTACATCTTTGTGACTTGACAGCCCAAAGATGGCCTCTGACAGAATAGAATAGAACTTGCAAGAAGGAGCCAGGTCAGCATTCCAGGTCATAAATTCTAATGGGAGAGAAAAGTTAGAGTTAGCTTAGCCCTGATATAAAGATCCCTGCTGATGTACTTCACTAGTTCTTCCACTCTTAATAGCTGTGTGGAGGGTAAAGCAGATTGGTATGAATGTGTGTGGAGTAAGCAGAAGCATAATAGTTCCTGCTTGGCTTTGAAGAAAAGGCTATATGGGTCCCTGGATGAAGTCTTGACATGACTCTGCTTTCTTTGTTGCAGGATCATATTGTCTTAAGTGAAGGTGAGGACACAAAATTGCAACTCAAAGGTGAGAAGATAATTTCTATTCCGTCTGTCTCATGAAAGGTCCATTCAGTACACATTTATACTGTATTTTCTTGTACTTCAGTTCAATGTTTTTATATTATATTGTTGTTATTGTTGTCATTGTTACTGTTCTGCCTTTTGGCATAATAACAGGAGAGGGATAACTCTAGCCAAAGATGCTAAGATTAGTTAGTTAGAACCTACATGAGGATGTCATCTGGGCTGGTGGGCTGGTCTTACTGTTGTACTTACAACAGTAAGTAAGAGTAATTACTCTTACTCCGTTCTACATGGCTGTGGGTATATGCCTTGAAGGTGAAAGAAACTGTTTTCTGTTTCTACCAAGTGATTAGACTCAAAGAAGAACTGGTCTATTTAGAATAGAAAGCTGTTACAGGCAAGATTTTATCAAGTACCTTCAACTCAGAAATCACCAGGATAGGTAAATATTTGCAATAATACCTGGGGGGACATCTCTTTAAACTGAGTTTCTTAAATAAACTTTCTGATTATTCTAGTTCATCTATTCCTTAGAGATGATTAAGATCCCTGGAAAGTACTTTGAGCAGCTCCAAAACAGGGAAATGTAGTAGCCCAATATAGTATTGGGAAAAACCTGCTGCTATCTTCTCTATGCCAGACCTCTTAGAAATAGTTCTTATTCTCACCAGTCTAGTCTGAATTCTTGAATTCTATATATAAGTATTTAACTCACTGTGTTAGTGACATTTTGACCTTGTTACACAGCTACAGAGAATACACATTCTTCAAGAGAAGAACATGATGAGAAATGTGACAAAGGAAAAGAAGAACGAGCAAGGGAAACTGAGTCTAAACTCAAGATTGACAACCACGAGCCCAGGTTGGGCCCCAGGCCTCGCTCACACAACAAAGTCCTCAACCCACCAGGTGGCAAATCCAGCATCTCTTTCTACTAAAGGAAACTAATACCAGCATCTTCAGACTAGAAACTCTTCTGTTAGGGTGTCAAGGTTTATAGTTTCTAATTAGTACAAGTTAGGATGGGCGGGGAGGGAAGGGGTTGATGATTCATGTGTGAAGATTTTCATGTAGCTCGTTGTTCAAGCTTGTCTTTTAGAAACAGCTAGGGCTGCACAGGACCAGGGGACACAGAGCCTTTCAGGGAATAGAGTAAACAAATCTTATGGGAGCAATAAGGGATTCCCCAGGTTTGCATCCAAGAATTAGTTCCAAATATGAGAGAGTCTTTGATGAAGTGAAAGAAAATGGGGAAAGAGTAGAATCTTCATGGGTACTAGGAGCATTTGTGTTTTGGTGGGCAAATGTACATCTAGGATTGGTCCTACAGCAGTAGCCATTGACAGTGTCACTAGGAGGCTAAAAACTCATGTGAATGATGTGTTGGACAGCTGTTAGAGGAATGTTCCTGCTACCTTGTCTGGTAAAGGGATACAACCTGTGTTTCAGAAGGATAATAGATCATTTAGCTCACACAGTCCTTACATTATAAAGTGATGATATAGGACCTTTACCTTTTCTTGGGGGCACTACTAATATCTGAGAAAACAGGTGTCAAATCTGTCTCCTTTTAAGTTTGCCTCCATGATGCATTGTTCTACAGACATCCTATAGGCTTTTTGACCTTTTCCCCACAAAAGCCAGGGAAAGACTCACTAAGCTTCAACTTGAAAGGGGTATTGGACTTGATTTGAACTCTTGCAGGTGCTTATGAGTCAAGCCAATTTTCCTTTTCCCTTGTTTGTAGACCTATTCTTAATGGCAGATTTTTGCACCCAGATCTTCCAGGGGCATCTGTACCTTCTGTCAGCTAGAAGGCTGATCTTAGATCAAAAGGCCTGCCTTACATAAGAGAGTAAGTTGGATCTCTCATTTACTGATTTTTGAAGTGAATAGTTTCTCCCTGCCATTCTCATAAGCCTTAAATGCTTTTGACTGCCTCTTCAGTTCACCAGTGGTGTGAACATACTACTTTCACAAAACACAGTTCTTTTCTAAAGATGGGGAGTGGGGCCTTCTGGTCTTTTGTAAAGGCCTTATTAACCTGTCCAATTTCTGTCTGATATTTTGGTTATTCATATTTTTCTAAGTCTTTTTTTTACTGTAATCAGTTGATGGGAGAGTAGAGCAAATCACTGAAAACCTTTAGTTCTTCAAATAAACATTTTGGACAATATTTAAAGAGCCCTTTTTAATGCTTTTTAAATATCAGCTTCACAAACTGCTGATGACTTTGAACCATTTATGACACCTTAATTACAAAGGTACACTAAAGAGTAAGCAGAAAGTTCCCTTGTATGAGTGATTACTCATTTTGGGGAATCTCTGCAATCTTGCCCAGTGAAACTGGAAACGTTAGATCTAATATCATTGCATAAAATAAACTCCTATATTTTTGAAGCTATTCTAATCACATTTAACTATAGAATCATGCCCCTTTGATCCATTTAGGGAAATGTTCCTCAGTCACACTAAATAACACTATATTTTACAATTCTGTACCTCTTGCAATTTGGAACATCTGTTATTACCATGCAAGTAGAGCAGATGAAGTTTCATGGTTTCACAATGGATATCTATAAGGTGAACACCAAATTCTGGGAATATTGTGCTACTTAGAATATTTAGCAAGCTGACACCTTGTATTAATATGTACCCTTTGTCCTCAATATTTAAAGTGCCTGTAGGAAATTGCTGTTAAACACTTTATTTGGCAAATTACAGGGAACTGGCACATGGGATTTGTTAGCCAAAGATTTTACCTCTTGAGGATTCCCTGATGATTTTGGAGATTGCTTTATAGCCAATCTAAGGTTGCTGTTTCCTATGAGCCTGTAAAGTACAGATAATACCCTGTTTAAATAATTGGCTGTGTTTTAGGATTTTAGAAGTCAGTTATTTGAAATGAAATCATTTTTTGTAGAAGCAGTGTTATAAATGGTGATTAAATTCTTAGGCTAGATAACAGAAGGCTAGTTAACCCAGAATGTTGCTAAAACTATGGAACCTAATCACCATTTATAACAGTGTGTCTGTGGGAAAACACATTTTGGGTGCTAGCTTATGGTGGCAAAAACATACCTCATTAGCCATATCCCTGGCAATGATAATTCCCTTTTTCTACCTGAATTCTGAAGCTCTAAGCCACTAGTGGTAATTCCTAGAACAATTTAAGTAGAAGGGGTGGTGAGCAGCAGGGAGGAAGTATCCAGTGAGAAAGATGAGAAGTGTTCTAAATAGCAGCCTTAGAGTAATGTTTTCCCTCCCCTTCTAACTTTTTTTTCCCCCTTGTTTCCTGATGTATCTTTTTGCTGTGGATGCTGAAACTGGGTGAAAAGGGGCTCAGGAAGGGTGGGGAATGAAAGTAGCCCACGAGAATGAGATTGGCTAGCAGGAAGAAGTATTAATGCATCTATGCTCATTTGTATTTAAAGGAGGTACATATGTCTGGCATTTGTTTGTTGAACTGCCCGTATTTGGAAGATCCAAAGACTTTTAGCATCTTACTCTCAGTCTTTTCTAAAATGCATTAAGAAATTAATTGTCCTTGTATTTTTTTTATTATGCCTTAAAACTTGTTTTTTAAATGCAGTTGATGCCAATATTTTCTCTAGAACTACTTATATTTTACAGTGTAATTTTGATGGGGGCATTTTCTTACTTTTGCAGGGCAGAAATGGGAATAACAGTTACATTAAACCTGGCAATCATGTAGTCAAAATCTGTTTTTGAGTTTTCCTTGCCAGACCCTTCTTCAAAATTCCTGAATTCAACCCTTTTCTTTTTTCTGATAAAATGGAGGTTGACATTTGCAACTCACTAGTGGGTATATATTTTTCTCTCAAAGAGAATTGTTCATTTTCACTTTTTTTCCACAAACTGTACGTTTATTAAACACCTTAACTTTTGAGTAGAATGATCATACCAATGTTTTTTTCAACTGATATTTTTAGTTAGTTACAAATTATTTCCCTTATTCATCCTTATTTTAAGAGTGTAATCCGTTTATTATTAACCTCTTGGTAACAGAAACTATTGAATTTACCCATGTGCTTACTTTGGAAGTATTTAGTCTGGAATGACATTTATGGAATTAGGGATGGGGCTTAGTACGGTCCTCAGCCACTTGAGAAGTTGGAGGAAGGGGGTACACTCCTTTCTTCTTTGCAAGAAAAAAAAATTAGCTATAATGGGTTACCTGAAAGAGGCATCTAATATCATAAATTAACGTTTTTTTGTATCTGCCTAGCATTACTGCACTGATTAAACAATTACTTTTTGCACACATAAAATTGAACAAATTCTTCCTTAGTAATAGCTGGCATTTATAATACTCTTTAAAAAAAAAGTTTGCGGAGTGCTTTCCTTTTCATTTGATCCTTCAAACCTCCCTGAGAGAATAGGAGTTACTGGTATGATCCCCTTTTACAGGTGAGGAACAGGCATAGAGAAGTTAAGAGATTTGCCCACAGTCACACTGTCGACTAAGTGGCAGAATGGGTTTTGAATCTATGTCTTGAGTGACTCAAGTCCAGCCCTGTCCTACACAAAACTAGCAGTATGTAGATTCAGAGGAATTCACTGAGGCATTAAATGTTGCATAATTAGGTATTGAATAACAGAAATCAAAGGGTAATTACTTGCTTTAATTACTGTGCTTTGTTCAAGTATACAGTGATTCATAGGGTGTGACTTGTATCCAGTCCTATTATTTTTGTTATGCTGAATCAGGCAAATTTTAAATGAAGCACACTTCTTCCTGTTTAATCATATACTTTGTATATTTACCTCATGCTTCTTACTGAGCCCAAGTATCATTCTTTCCAGTAGACTATTAATGAAGTATGATTGCTGTTTTATGTGTAACATCAGAATGATGCTATATAAAATTCAGTTCTGCAAGAAAATGAGACAGCACTTATCGGAGCTGACGTGAATTTTATGTTTTGAGAAAAGGCATACAGCATTAAAGGTGGGCGTTTAATATTGGTCTCCAAGTATCTTAGAATGTTTTAATAGGAATCACACATCAAACTGAGCATTTAGTTTACCCTCAGGAATTAGCTTTCTAAATTTAGTTTTCTGAATTGTGAAGTTGTATTTCACAATTGAATTCCTTGCAGCATAACTGGCTTTTGAGAATTGTCCTATAATTATTGCTCCTCAAAAATCTCATGGAGACGTTAACTGTTTCTACTATTGATCAGCTCAGATGAGTTGTAAGTGTATGCTGTGATCTTACTAATATTGTTAAGTGCTTAAAACTTACATGATAAACAGTTTAGTAATGCATGTCTACACTTGGGGAGTTGGGTAACAACACTGGTGATTCAAGTTTGAAATGGCCATACTCTGTGCCTTTGCATCCTCCTTAGGTGCTATCAGTCAACAGGTATTTGCATATTGTGTACTAGGTATGCTGCTAGGTACTGGGGATACAGGTACAAAGAAAGAAACAATCTCTACTCAAAAGGAGCTGAATTTCCACTTCTCTTAGAAAAGTTAGAGGGGGGGAGCAGGAGATGAGCTAACGTAAGGTATTTTTTAAAAATAGTGTAAGGTGGCATCTTAGTAAAGTTTATTTCAGCTTACACAAGAGATCTCAGATATGAGCTCCACAACACTCCCAGTGAGGCCCAATCAGATTAAAATGTAATTGAGAAAAAATTAACAAAATAAATAACAATAATAAAACATAGGTAACATGACATTTTTAAAGTAAGCCAGGTGCTGATAAGTGGGCCACCCCCTGCCTCCTTTCTGAGTTTGACACCATTGCACCACACACACACACACACACACACACACACGCACACACCCATCTCCAACACACTAAAGGTGGCAATACTAAGTACTCCATTCTTTTATCTCTTACTGTAGTCCTCTATGCAGCAAAAAAAAGTTTAGGAAATACTTTTCCATATTTATTCATCAGCAAATATGTTTTTCAAAATGTTTTGCCAAAAGTTCTATCCTTGGTCCAATTTTTCTTTCATTCTCTACATGAATGGAATACATTAAGTGCATTCTGTGAGTCAGACGTGGTACTGGTCACTGGGTACAAGTAAAAGGAAAGCGTCTACTCAAAAAGAGTCCAGTTTCCATTCCTGTTTAAAGGGGGGCAGGGTGAGTTAAGGTAGTAAAGTACAAAAAAGTTTTCTTAAAAAATGTAAAGTGGCATCTTAGAATTAAATAATCTCCCTTGACAAGCTTGCTATGTGGCAGGCACTTTGCTAAGTGCTGAAAAAAGAATGAAACAATCCTTACTCCCAAGGCATTAACATTTATTGGGGGAAAATACGTGTATATAAAACAAAAAGAATAAATACAGAGTTTGAGCAAGAGGGCACTAGTAGGAGAGTCAAGGAAAGGTTTCTGGTAGGTAGTGCTTAAGTTTTTTCTTGAATAAGAGAGAGGTTCTGAGGTAGAGGTAAGAAAGGAATGTATTTCAGGTGTGGGGGACAGGTAATGCAAGACAGAAGTTGGAGTACCATGTGTGAGAAATAGAAGGCCAGTTTGGTTGGACTCTAAAATGCAGGAAAGGCAGTAATGTGGACAAACTAGAGCCTGATTGTGAGGGCTTTAAAAACCAAACAGGGGCAGCTAGATGGCGCAGTGGATAGAGCACCGGCCCTGGATTCAGGAGAACCTGAGTTCAAATGCGGCCTCAGACACATAACACATACTAGCTGTGTGACCTTGGGCAAGTCACTTAACCCCATTGCTTAGCCAAAAGAAAAACAAAACCAAAAAAAGAAACAAAGGAATATTTTTTTTACTAAAGGCAATAGATGCTAGAGTTAGTTGATGTGGTCTGGGCAGTGCTTAATTGCCTACTATGGCCCTGCACTGTGCTAAGGACAAGTTATAAAAAAGGCAACCCCCCCAAAAAAAAAATCCAGTCTTGCTCCCAAAGAGTTCCCATGGTCTAAGGGGGAGAGACAACATGCATAACTGTACAAAAAATATGTGTGTGTACATACACACATATATGTAGTGAATTGGAGATAATTAACAGAGGGAAGGTGCTAATAATATTAAAGGAGATCAGGAAAATCTTCCTGTGGAAGATGGGATTTTAACTGAGCCTTGAAGAAAAGCAAAGAGGGCAGATGATAAAGAGGAAGAATGTTTCAGTCATGGAGACAGCCGGAGAAAATGTCTGAAGTCAGGAGGAGTGTCTTCTTCAAGGAATGGTATGGAGGCCAGTATCACTAGATCACAAGTCTTTAATAGTGACTCAAAATGTAAAGCCACCAAAAATTTCTCATCCCCCTCAAAAATATACCTATCAGGTTCCCTCCCCTTTTTCCAATGATGTGCAGTCTTCAACCTATGTCTAGTAATTCTTTTTTTTCCTATTAAACATTTTCACATTATGATGTTGTAAGTAAAAATTAGAACCAATAGGAGGAACCACCAGAAAGAGGAAACAAAACTCAACAGAAGAGAAAAAAAATAGCAATTCAACTTCCATGGTTCTTTCTTTGGATGTGGATAGCATTTTCCATCACGAGGCCTTTGGAGATGTCTTAGATCCTTGTATTGCTGGGAAGGGTTAAGTTTATCAATATTAGTCATCTCATAACGTGGCTGTTATTGTGTACAATGTTCTGGTTCTGCTCACTCCACTCAGCATCAGACCATACAAGTCTTTCCATGTTTTTCTGAAGTTGGCCTGTTCATCATTTCTCACAGCACAATACATTCATATACCACAATTTGCTCAGCCATTCCCCAATTGATGGGCATCCTCCCAATTTCCAATTCTCTGCCACCACAAAAAGAGCTGCTATGAATATTTTTGTACATGTGGGTCCCCCTCCCATTTGTATGATCTCTTTGGGATACAGCCCCAGAAATGCCATTGCTGGGTCAAAGGGTATGCACACTTCTACAGCCCTTAGGGATAGCTCCAAACCACTCTTGGATCACCTCATAACTCCACCAACAATGCAGCAGTGTTCCAACCTTCCCACATCCTCTCCAACATTCATCACTTCCCTGTTCTGTCATCTTGGCCAATAGATCACAAAGTATTATGGTGGGGAGGGGGGGAGGGGAGGAATGAGGCATAATAATATTGGAAAGGTAGGAGGAGGCCAAATAATGGAGTCTTTGCCAGAATTTTATGTTTGATTCTACAGTTGATTGGAATCACTGGAGTTTATTAAATAAGGGGTGACATGGGCAGACCTAGGCTTTAGGAAGATGAAGTTGACAGCTGAATGGAGGATAGACTGGAGTAGAGATTTGAGGCAGGAAGATCAATGTGGAGGCTATTTCCATCACTTCTATAAATGAGGTGATAAAAGCTTACGCTGGGGATGGTGGCAGTGTCAGAAGCAAGAAGAGGGTGTATAAGAGATACTGAAGATACATAATCAAGATGACTTGATAACTGATTGCATGTGGGGAATAAGAAAAAGGAGTTGCGAAGTTGACATCTAGGTTGCAAGCCTGGGTGACTGGGAGTTTTGTTAATCACTGAGGAATGAGTTCAGATAAGTTAGCAACATCTTCCTAGGAGTTCACTTTAGGATGGAGACTTCAGGACATTGTGGGGCATGTGTAGCTAGAAAAAGGGGATGGAAAGAAGGACCCAGACTCAGGCAGATAACTGTTGAAGGAAGCTCAATTAAAAGGGAATTTCCTTTTTTCCAAATAAGCCCAGGCAGGGGACTGGTGGTAGCAGCATGGCAGAGTGAGCTGTTACTTGTTCCCCACAGGCCCAGTCAGGGAACAGTAATATTGTCCCCGGGCAGGTGACAATCCACCTCTCTCTCATCATATAATCTGGACTCCACATTGTTCACTGAATTGTTATCAAAATTGTTTTTATGTTATCTTCATGGTTGCTGGATAGTTATTGTATATGTTTTCCTGGTTTTGCTTTCTCCACTCAGTTTCAGTTCATGAAAGTCTTCACATATTTCTCTAAATTCCTCATAGTCATCATTTCTTATGATTCAATAGTATGCTGTTACATTCCTGTGACACATGGTTCAGCCATTCTCAGTTGATAGGCTCCTAGAATTTTCCAGGGTTTTTGCTACTACAAAAAGTACTTCTATGAATATTCCCACATATGGGGCTTTTATTTTTGCCACTGACCTCCTTAGTTTATATGCTCAGTGTTATGATCTGCATATGAATCAAAAGGACATGAATAGCTTAGTAACTTGAATCACTTTTCTTGAATACTTACAAAGAATTTTCAGGGGCCGTCTCCAGATGTCCTGATCTTTATCTGGCCACTGGACCCAGTTGGCTCCGGAGGAGAAAGTGAGGCTGATGGCTTTGTACAGCCCAGCCTCACTTAAATCCAATTTACCTGCCAGTCATGATATCATTTTCCTGATGATTCATGGTCCTCTTTGAGAATGAAGGACTAGCCATAACCACAACAAAGAGTTTTACCATCCACAGCTCCACAATCTATCTGTACATTATTGCACCTGGCTTCTCACTTAACTGCCTTTACAATGCTGGTAATTTGTCTTTGCAAACTTGATGAAGGGAGGTGAAACCTCAGCCTTTTTATTTGTGACTTGGAACATTTTTTCCTCAAGTGGTTAGTTTGTAATTCTTTTCAAAACATTTATTTTGTACTTTCTGTGATCTCCTATCCTTGTTTGATTATGAAGTCTCACACTAAGTATACATTTGAAAGGTACCTCCTTCCAGTATCTCATTTTCTCTTGGTGACCTCATCAGCTTCTGTGGGTTTAATTATGACCTCAGTTCAGATGACTCCTAAATCTACACGTCCAACCCTACTCTCCTGAGCTCCAAGCTTGTATTGCTAACTGCCTATCAAACACATTTTAACTAGATGTCTTGTAGGTATTTCAGATTCAACTTACCCAAAACAGAATGCATGTTGTGGAAAAACTTACACTTATTCCTTGATTTCCTGGATGGATACCTCCATCCATCTAGTCATCCTGGTTTGAGACTTTGGAGTTATCAACTCTTCTCCTTCACCTCATTGATGCAACAATTGCCAACTCTTATTAATTCTACCTCCAAAACATCTCTTAAATCTGCGTCTATCTTTTGACTCACATGACCACTATCCTAGTTCAGGCATTCATTATCTCTTATCTGGACTATTGCAGTAGCCTCAGAATTGGACCCTCCCTCATCTAGTTTCTTCCCTCCACTTTTTTTTTTTAACCAGTCTTCCAAACAGCATGCCTAAAACATAGGTCTGACCATGTCTCTTGGTTGGTTGGTGGTTGTCAGTCATTCTCAAAGAAGACCAAAATGACATCATTATGCTAGAGTCAAATTACAGTGTGTCTTTCTGTGGCTGATAAGACCAATAGGAGGTCGGAATGTTCTACCACAGGTCTGGCACAAATAGTCCACGTGAACATTGGGGGTGGATTCTCTAAATTTGCAAAACCTGGGTTTCTCTTGAGCTACTTCCTTTCTGCTTTGCTCATAGAGCACAGCACCTTCTTGGATGTGGGCACGCCGTGCTGAGCAATCAGTTCCTTACCTCCCCAGTAAACTCCAGGAGCCCCTTACTACCTCTAGGATCAAATGTATTAGTATAAAAGAGCCCTTTACTACCTTGGCTTCAACCAGCCTTTCCTTTTCTGTGTCATCCCTCTCCTAGACTACCTAAACATTGCATACACACATACACTGCTCTGCACCTTAATTGTTGAATTGCAAACCTAAGTATCGAGCCCCTCTTCATTCTGTCTCTCCTCTGCCTCCTCTATGTCTCTGTCTCCACCCCGACCCCTCCTCCCTTCCCTCTCTATCTGTCCCTCTCTGTCTATTCCCTCTCCCTTCTTTGTGTCTTATCGATTCTGTGCTCAGGGGAGTCTGATCCAGATTCAGTAAATGGGAATAATGTTTCTAATGCGACCAGCAAGGAGTCGCACTTCGGGAACGCCGGAAGTGCTCCGAAAAGACCTCAGGCTCTGATCCAACTGAAAGCGGCTCCTTAAAGCAGCAGTGCGCACGCTCCCCTTTACCTCGCGACTTTGGCTCCCCCTAGCGAGGACGTGTAAGCACGCCCGCAGACAGTTGCCTGGGAGACGTTCATTTCCCCTTTCTCCAGGAGGCAGCGGGGCTTCCGGGAGGTGGGGCGGGACTTCCGGCAAGTGAATGACTGGCAGAGCCGCGGAGGTGACAGGCAGAGCAGAGCGGCTGCGGCGGCCTCGGGGAAGCGGGGGAGCTGGGAGCAGACAGCCGAAAAGCAGTTCAGCCAGGCCCGGCCGGGAAGGCATCAGGCCGCGCTGGCGGCGGCAGCGGTAGCCACGATGATGGAGATCCAGATGGACGAGGGCGGAGGGGTGGTGGTGTACCAGGACGACTACTGCTCGGGCTCGGTGATGTCGGAGCGAGTGTCGGGCCTGGCGGGCTCCATCTACCGCGAGTTCGAGCGGCTCATCAGCTGCTACGACGAGGAGGTGGTGAAGGAGCTGATGCCGCTGGTGGTGAACGTACTCGAGAACCTGGACTCGGTGCTCAGCGAGAACCAGGAGCACGAGGTGGAGCTCGAGCTGCTGCGCGAGGACAACGAGCAGCTGCTCACCCAGTACGAGCGGGAAAAGGCGCTGCGCAAACAGGCCGAGGAGGTAGGCGGCGAGCCCGGAGCCGAGCGGCCAGCCAGGCCCGGCCCGGCCCGAGCGGGGTGCGGAGGGGGCGGGTGGGCGGGATGGGCCTCCTCCCCGCCCCGCCCCGGAAACCCTGCCTCTGACCCCTGGGCCGGCCCGGGTCCCTGAGGACCTGCTTTCTCTTCCCACCTCCCGGCCCGGCACCCCTGTGGGCCTTCCCTTCCCCCTCCCCTCTTCCATCCTATTTCATTTCCAGGAACTTGGCTCACCCCCGCCTTCTCTCCCCCGAACCCCAAAACTCAACCCCTGGGAGCTCCTGCATCCTTCTCTTCTTCCCTATGGCCACACCCACAGAGGGAAAGGGAGAGGCATCCCTTCTTTGGGTGTCCCTGGCCGAAAGACTCCATCTGAGAAGCCAGAGGTCACCGGGAATGTCCCTAGCGCTTAGCCCAGCCCCATGAGGAATGCCCAAGGTCACACACAGCTGCTCCTCGGGCCGTGATACCTAAATATAACCTTCATCCTTAAAAGCCTTGCGTCTTTTCTCTGCCTAAATCAGATTCCGACTTGAGATCGGTTTTTGTTTGTTCCGACTGCTGCCCAAAGCCCCGATTACTTCCCTTGACCAGTCTCTAACAGCTGCAGTCAGCTTTCCCTCTAAACAGATCCTCTTTGCAGCATGAAGCCGTCATTGGGAAAGGCTTTTTTCCCTTGTGTCCTCCTGTCCAGGATTCTCACAGTTTTGTGCAGAAGAATCACTTGGTAATTGCTTCCAACACTTAACGAGAGCCAAAAGCTCAGAAGCTCTGTCGCATTCATTAAGTGAAACTGCTCTTGGCTTCTGTGTGTTTAAGGTTACTGCTGAGTTCATGCCTTGTTGGTAACTCTTTTGCCCTTTAAGTCACTACATTGGCCAGGTTGTAAGCGTTTATAGAAAATCCTGGAAAATTCCAGTGTGGATGAGGGGGAGAGGAAATAAGATTTTTCTGATCTGGAAATATTTTTACCCTATAACTTGGAAAACTGCATGTGAACAATTTAAACAGACATTCAAGCATAAGGAAGAAAGCTATATATTATGTAGAATGCCACTCTTGCCGTGCATATATACATATACATACTCTGCTTATATGCATAAATCCATAGGTGTTTTAGATAGAAGTAAGGTTCTTTATCAAACTCATTGGCTGATAAATAGGAAGCTTCTAAACTCCTTTATGATAAATTTTGTTTTCCATGTTCTTATTTGTCCATGTGATGATCCTGATTTACAGCAGAAATAAGAGAAAGAACTTGTGAATTTCTTAAACCATAGCTAAGGCGTATTCTTAGTGAAATTTGAAGAATGTTTTGATAAACTAAAACTGTAAAACAACCCTCTGAGTGAACTTAATATACACTTATCACTTATCATAGTGATATTGATAGGCCTTTTCATCCTTCAGTCAAGCAGGTATTCCTTAGTTGATAGTGATATCCATTGATGCTAATACTCAGACTTAAGGGCAATAGCTGATAAAGCATGGAACTCATTCTTTACAGGTAGAGATACTAAAGATTATACATACATCATAAAATGTTAAAATTGAAGGGACCTTAGATCATTTAGTCCATTTCCCTCATTTTTACAGAGGCCCTGAAAGGTTTGTGTAACCAGCCCAAGGTTATCACTAGTTAGTGGCTAAGCCTGAACTCGAGCCTTAGACTTCTGACTCCAAATCCAGGCTGCTTCTCTTACATCACACTACCTCTAGTCAAAAGAAGAGTTAACTATGAACGCAACAGCAAACTTCTGGTCCTGTGTTAGAGGAACTCACTGTTGTACCGAAATCTTATGTTTGTGTCAGTTTGCTCTGTGCTTTATAGGTATCTAAAAATAAACCACTGTTCTTCAGTAAACCTGGTACCCTCAGTATTTTATCACTACCCTGTATTAGAAAGAAAATAAGTTATTCATTTACAATATAATTCAAGAAATTTCCTAACTTTAAGGATAAGAATTAAGGGGAGAATAAGCAACCTACTATGCTATATATAATAAGCAACCTGCGATGCTGTATGTTATACAGCATACTATGCTCAGCACTTTATAAATGTTAATTCATTTGATCCTCACAATAACCCTATGAATCAGGTGATATTATGCTCATTTTATAATTGAGAAAACTGAGGCAGATAGAGGTTAAGCCACTTGCCCAGGGTCACACAGCTAATAAGTGTATGAGGCTGGATTTGAATTTTGGTCTTCTTGATTCCAGGCCCAGTGCTCAGTGTACCACAGACTTGCCTCGTGAAGTAAGATTTTATTGTCAAACTTTACAATAAATAGACTGGGCAATCTTCCACAATATATGTAATTCTTTTGTGGGTGGAGAAGTGGAGTCAAGACCTTAAAAACTCTTTTCATGAAATCTGCAACTCTTGTACAACCTAAGGAGAGTTGCCGGGGACTGTAAAACATCAAGTGACTTGTCTGGGGTCACAACCAGTTAATGGAGTAGCTGGGCTTGGAGTCAGGAAGATCTGAGTTCAAATGCAGCCTTAGACACACAGTTAAGTGTCATTTAGCCGCTTTACTTCTCTATTTCCTCATCTGTAAAAAAAGGAAGATAATAATAGCATTTAGCCCTTTAGGGTGGTTGTGGCCATATTTGTAAAGCATTTTACAGACCTCAAAGTGATATATGGGGGGGGGGTGTGCGTACACTGAAATGATGATTATGGTGTGTCAGAGTGCAGACTTCTGAATCAGAACCTAGCCCTGAATCCATCTAGTTACTTCTCATGCAGCTCACATGCAAACATATGTAATTCTTTGTTCTTATAACCATTCCCAGATTGCTGCATGTGTAAATGTGGTCCCTAGGAAAATTCTAGTGGAGACCAACCATCTCCTAAGCTAAAAATGGTCAACCAGCTTCTTGTGGAGAAAGACTTAAAGAGGAAATTTTTTTTTGCTATTGGGGATTGTATTGGTTTTATGGTTAATATTACTTTTATGTTGCCAAACACCTCCTCAGACTCATAGAATCACTAAACCAATGCTGTACCCTCCTCCAACTACAGTGCCCAAGAAGGCTTAGGCAGAGATGGGTAACTTGAGCTGCCTGCATGTTCCTGAGCTGGGAAGATCCTTCAGTTTTTCAGAGCTAAGCCTTGATCAGTGCAAGCAAATAGCCCTCTTTTCTACCTTTCACCTTTTAGTAAGTACAGTTAAAGGAATTCAGAGATTGATCTGCCATCTAAGGGACAGGGAAGTATGTGGCATTTAGGTGGAATTGTTTGTACTCTAGCCATATCCTCAGTTTTTATTCCTCTAAACTAAGAATAGTGATAACTAGAAAACAGTACAAAGGCTCACAAATTTAAATTAACTTTGTATGATCTTTGAAAGACATTATTCAGTGATTCCATGGTAAAAACAATAATTTCACAACTTTTTGAGTGTACATATACAAGATGCAATTTCCTCTTTTGCCATTGAGCACTCTCTCATCTCTGTGCTTTTGCACTGGATGTCCATCATCTCTGAAATGTACGTTTTTTCTCACCTCCACTTCAGAGAATCTCACTTTTCCTTCAATGACAGCCCCAGCATTTCCTTTTTTTCTTTTTTGAAGAGGAGCTGCACTCCTTGGACTGGATTCCATTTTTTTAATTTTTTTTTTATTAATTTATTTTGATTTATCAACAATTACTTCCATAAGCTTTTGAGTTTAAAATTTTTCTCCCCCTCCCTCCCCACCACCTTCCCCAAGACTGTGCATAATCTGATATAGGCTATACATATACATTCCTATTAAACATATTTTCACATTAGTAATGTTATAAGGAAGAATTAGAACCCGTAAGAGGAACCACCAGAAAGAGGAAACAAAACTCACAGAAGAGAAAAAAAAATAGCAAACTATGCTTCAATCTGCATTCAAACTCCATAGTTCTTTCTTTGGAGGTGGATAGCATTTTCCATCACGAGTCCTTTGGAGATGTCTTAGATCCTTGTATTGCTGGGAAGAGTTAAATTTATCAATATTAGTCATTGCAGAACGTGGCTGTTATCGTGTACAATGTTCTCTTGGTTCTGCTCTCTTCACTCAGCATCAGACCATACAAATCTTTCCAGGTTATTCTGAAGTCAGCCTATTCATCATTTCTCACAGCACAATAGTATTCCATTACATTCATATACCACAACTTGCTCAATTCCCCAATTGATGGGCATCCTCTCAATTTCCAATTCTTTGCCACCACAAAAAGAGCTGCTATGAATAGTTTTGTAAGGGTGGGTCCTTTCCCCATTTGTATGATCTCTTTGGGATACAGACCCAAAAGTGCTATTGCTGGGTCAAGGGGTATGCACATTTTCATAGCCCTTTGGGCATAGTTCCAAATTGCTCTCTAAGAGGCAGCTAGGTGGCGCAGTGGATAGAGCACCCGCCCTGAAGTGAGGAGGACCTGAGTTCAAATCCAGCCTCAGACCAAACACTTGACAGTT